CATAGATATATGGAAAGCTCCAAAGCAAATGAACACGTTGTCATAGGTGGGTTTTTCTTGTGCCTGTATCTGCAATGCAAGTTTGGCTACAGCCAAATCATAAGTGGCAAGTGCCATGTTTTCCCCACAGGCTTTTGCAACTTCTTGAGATATCCTCAGTGTTTTAGCAACCACATTCAGTTGTGTTGGTGGCTCTGTTATGTTTTTCAAATACCCAATTTTTTGTTGTGGTAGATAGTCCTCAGACCATCGTGCATTCCATCCGATCCACATTGGGGTTTGCTGATTCCACGAATAACCCATCATCCAGAGCATGTCCATGTGTCTGAAGTGTACATAATTTGCAGGCTCCTCATCTTCAGATAATGGATACTCAAACCTTTGAATCCTAGGCTTCTTCATGTATGGCTGGATGTAAGATTGTTCTCCTTGGAATGATCTCTTTCTTCTTCCTGCTTTAAAAGATGTATGTGTTGGAACATCTTCAGGTGTAACTGGGGCTGTTGGAATATCCTGGTAGCATATACCGACTGTGTCATGAAGTGTCCCAGCACCTGACAGAGTTTCTGTGTTCTCATCATAATTGTCCCATGCTGTGCCAGTGTGAAGTCCAGGTGAGTGAAGGAGACCATCTGGAAGTGGTGATTCAGTTTGTGATACAGATGTTGCCATCTCCGTTTCCAACATTTCAGCCATGTGATACCCTACACAGTGTCCAAAATGATTCAAAATCTCAATGACTTTCCTGCTGCCAGTGATACTTTTAAGCCCAAGTGCAAGATTTAGATGTTTACCTGGTTTGATAGTTCCATTTGAAGTATTGTAGAGAACGTCATCTGCTGATGACCTGATGCATCTCTCAGCCTTGACACTAGGTGGATCTTTGGGCCTTGGAGAGCCTGTATACAATGTTCTAAAGAATCGCATTAAATCACTGGAGGGTTGGCCATTACCCTTTCCTATAACTTGTGCTGACAAGGGCAATGGTAGATCCTTTGACTCATCTCTCATCCTGATTATTTCCTGCCTCAGAATAAAAGCTGCGTCCACTACACGTGCAGAATTGGAATTTGCTTGTGCCTCAGCGTACAGGACCGCATCTTCATTTGATAGACTTGAAGAAAAAATTACTTTTCCTTTTCTGTTGGAGGATTTGGTACTCTTTATTTCATTCTTGTACTTGTTCAGCAATTTAGCTTCCACCTTCTGTGCACTGTATTTAGATTCACTCCCAAGGGATGTCACATATTGTTTATGCAGAGATGTGAGGTATTCAGCGCCATTTTTAACAATAATTTCTTGTTCAACATAGAGTGACAATGTCTTGAAGGCTGTCTCATGTGCATTGCTCAGGTTTTCTTTGCTGTTGTCAGAGTGCTCCATAGATGCTCCATGATTGATGGATATATTTTCTGCTCTTTTGAGGTAAAGCCTACGACAAGAATGGTGATATTTTACTTCCTTCGATATGAAATCTACGTCACAAATCTGAGCAAGTAGCGCTTGGTCACACAGGGTTTCAGCAGCAGATTTTATTTTTTCTTCAGCATCAAAACTCTCACATCTTCCAAGTGTTTCTCTATGATTCCCAACACGCTTTGAAACAGCTTTGCAGAAAATGCACACATTTTCAAATACCCCAGAGGAAGTACAAGCAATACCAGGCAATTTTGAACGTAGTAAAACAGATGCATTTCTTTGGTGCTCAGTTTTCTCTTTTGGAATAGCTGTGAAATTTTTGTAGCAGTTGATATGATATCCATAGGACAGTTCAATGGCATCTAGAGTTCTCACATATTCACATGCTTTATGGTATTTTGATGAAGAATACTTGTTCAGACGAAGTTTGGCAGCATTTTGTATTTGTTGCCATGACTCACTGTCAAACTTTTTGACTGGTTCTTTTGAATGTTGACCCAGATGCAGAATACATTTGAGATTTTGATCATCCATTCTTCATATTTTAGTGCCTCTGCAGTCAATGAATGGTGTTGCTACTACACATCATCTAAAAAACAAACAAATAGCTTTATAAATGATTAATCAAACTTGAATAGCCCCAAACTAATACAACAACTGCTCCCTGGAAATACTTGAAATTAAGAGTAGTCTCCCTTGATAGCCTTAACTTTTTGCAGGAGCTTTATTACTAATCACAAGACTTTATACTGTTGAACTGGTGATAATATATTCTGTGGATCATTACACAACTTATGACAAACAGTGTAAAAGATACTGATAAGGGTATTTACAACAACTCACCTTTTCCATCCTGCTGTCTACAATGCTTCCAGCATGGCGGCCATCTTGGCATCAGGGACCAGTCATTGCACTTGATTGAAATTATATACTAAAACTTCATTAGAAAGGTTAATTGATTAACTCTATTCAAATCTGGTCCTTTTTATTACATTAATTGTACTTGAACTGTCTGAATTGTCACAGTTTATGATTTTAGGATGGAGTTATCTCCCTTTACCAAAAATAAATCATCCTGACTCCTTTGAATAAAACTCTGAATCTTCATGAATAATCATTTGAAAGTATTGAAAATGAATAATATTGTTTCTATAATGTTGGGCTTGTAAAGCAAAATTACTGAGATAATTAAAACCTCATATTACAGGAGTAAGAAGAAACAAAAGATGGTACTTTGCAAACAAAATCATAAATATTATGATATTTCCTATCACAGATAAGACATTTTGATATAGTGGGTGCAATATTGTGTTCTTTTATAAAGTATATGCTCATACCTTCACTTCAATACCCAAATAACTTTAGTCATTTTCAATTTTTATTAAACTTTTCGCATTTTCCTTAATCACATGTGCGCTAAAAAAAATTGCTGAGTCATGCCTTTAATGGCATACTGTGAGGAAATGGTCAAGATACAATTTGTAAGAAATTGATTTCTCGAAAATATACTCAATCTTCTTCATGATCTACATTTCAAACCTTTTGGACCTCTGAGGTAAATAAATTCCATGCTATCTCTTGGCCTACTATTGCCGGGTATCATTTTTTACATGGAACCAGTCTGACCAGTCACCGTCAAGGCTCCCGTGCACGTGATCGCGTCATCGCGAGAATTACGTGTTGACATAGAATCGTCCAACAAAAACAAATATGACTTTTAACGAATCAAAGTATGGCATTTATGATATATGTATCCATTCTCTGTCAACTAAAGTTCGTTTCAAGGCGTCAATAGCGGTAATCTGACCGTGATTGCTGTGAATAACGGTGAGTTGTGCGATCTTCCGATCACTTCACACACGATTTCGCCGAAATTAATTAAAACAATATTAAAAGGAATTTTGAATAAAATTAATGAAATAAGTTACAAACAAAAGTCCAGATATACAAAGAACACTTTTTATAGCCAGACAGTGTAAGTACATGAATAATTTGCGAACTTCAGTATGGATTTGTTGACATGGTATTTCCGGTGTTACGTGCTCACAGTAATGTCTTTCCATGGGGGAAAAAACTCATTAATTCGTGTATAATGCGCACCCCTTTCTACACAGCTGTGTTTTTTTGGGGAAAAAATTGCGCACTATTCTCAAGAAAATACGGTAAGGCTTACTGATGAATTTATGCCAATTTGACTCTGAATTGGTCCCAATAAGTGCCCACCCCTTCTGTCTTTTTTAAGCGCCCTGGGCGTTTATTGGGTCGAATACGGGTAAGTGGAATTGATCGGGGCTTGTTTAACAAAGTTGTAGACCTTGTCTTTCTAAACTATGCACATAGCCTTTAATTCATGTTTCAAGCATGGCAAAGGCAAACTAATAAGAGCTATTGCTCTTACAACTTGCAGTGGTGCTTTAAGGTAGAACAGGTCTTCAGCAACCCATGCTTGCCGTAAAAGGCGACTATGCTTGTCGTAAAAGGCGACTAACGGGATCGGGTGGTCAGGCACGCTGACTTGGTTGATGCATGTCATCGATCCCAATTGCGTGGATCGATGTTCATGATGTCAATCACTGGATTGTCTGGTCCAGACTCGATTATTTACAGATCGCCGTCATATAGCTGGAATATTGCTGAGTGCGGCGTAAAACAACACACCAACCAACCTGTGGCAAGAAATGCATATGAAATGAAGGTATCTGAGATACTGAATAATATATGACAAAACTTGATCAAGTGGAAGTGATTATGTGGCATTTGATTGGCTAACCAAGCAATTGTTTTGCACCTATTTGTTTAGGGGCCACGCCCATCACCGGATAACTGTTTCCTTAATTGGCTGATATAAGAATGGGCGGGGTTTGTGTTGCATTATTGCGTTGAACGATGGCGCTGATTTTGTATTGTGTTTCGCCTATTTGTTTTAGGGGCCACGCCCATCACCGGATAACTGTTTCCTGATTGGCTGATTTTAGAATGGGCGGGGTTTGTGTTGCATTATTGCACTGATCGATGGCGCTGATTTTGTATTGTTGCCACATTGTGTGTTCATGATGCAGTCTGTGATGTTCCTACTGTTGACGTAAGTTTTTATACGAACTGACTTCACAATGTTTTTAGAATGTATGGAGTTATGAACGCAAAACCGGCGTCCACTTTTAGCTGGGCGGATTACGCAGTATGCACGCCGGTTTTAGGTTTATAGCTCCAAGTCTTTTCTTAAATAAATACATTGCTAGTGATTCCGTGGTATAAGATAGACTAACTAAGGAATACATTTTGTGTTTATGTTTCTATAAGCCGAAAAGAATGGGCCGCGCCCACTAACGGACAATTGTTTCCTGATTGGCTGTTAATAGACTGGGCTGGATATTTCACTCACTCACTCACTCACTCACTCACTCGCCTCATTGCCACATGGTCTGAACTCCAGTATTTAAACAAGTGCATATAGCATACATAATGTCGTGTTTTAGTTATTCATATGCATTGTTTTGTCAATGTGTTTCCCCTTAACCTTAGTCAAACACGACGCGAGATTCACATGAAGACTCGTCCTCACTGCTCCTTCTTTCTTTCAGAATTGACGCCGCTGTGGGAGACGTAGGTACAGGGCACCCGTCACCACCGTGCAGCACGTCAGTGTCACTACAACCATACCATGTACTGGATAACATTCGGGCATCAGCCAGCAGACTTAGCCGTGGACAATGTTCTGAGGGTGATCGTAGCCTATATTCTGAGCCACTTTTCTTTGACTACCAATCTGTCAGCAACTGGCACAAAACGACTATTTTCTTCCAAATTAATAAGAAACGACTCTTTTCTTTCATTTTCAATTTATAACAACAATTTTCTTTCAACTTCTTAATGGCTAAACTGACTTTTTGTTTCTGCCAGAAATGACTTCTTTTTCCTTCCTATCTCCCAGAAACGTCTGTTACCCACTTTCCTGTCTGCCAGAAACGACTCTTTTTGACCTTCCTATCTCCCAGAAACGTTTTTTACCTGCTTCTCTGACTGATAGAAATGACTTTTTTCTCCTTCCTCTCTCCCAGAAACGACTCTTTGCCGCTTTTTTATCTGCCAGAAACGACTCTTTTTTTCTCCTTCCTCTCTCCAAGAAACCACACTTTGTCGCTTTCTCATCTGCCAGAAACGACTTTTTGCCGCTTTCTTATCTGCCAGAAACGACTCTTTTTGTCCTTTCTCTCTCCCAGAAACGACTTTTTGTCTCTTTCTTATCTGCCAGAAACGACTCTTTGCCGCTTTCTGATCTGCCAGAAACGACTCTTTGCCGCTTTCTTATCTGCCAGAAACGACTCTTTTTTTTGCCCTTCCTATCTCCCAGAAACGCCTGTTACCCGCTTCTCGGTCTGCCAGAAACGGCTGTTACGCGCTTCTTGGTCTGCCAGAAACGGCTGTTACACGCTTCTTGGTCTGCCAGAAACGACTCTTATTTTATCCTTTCTCTCTCCGAGAAATGACTCTTTGCCGCTTGTTTCTTGGACAGAAACAACTTCTCTTCCCCTTTCTATCCACCAGATGCGTCTCTTTCCGCTTCTCTGTCTGCCAGAAACAACTCTTCTCTTTCAATATTGGTACCTTAATCCCTAACCTATACCTTTTGTATCTGGTAATGTCTTAACCCTTGTTCTGAGGGTGATCGTAGCCGATATTCTGAGCCACTTTTCTTTGAATACCAATCTGTCAGAAACCTTTTTGGAGCCACCAGCAACTGGCACAAAACGACTATTTTCTTCCAAATTAATAAGAAACGTCTTTTTTCTTTCATTTTCAAATTACCACAACAATTTTCTTTCAACTTCTTATATGCTAAGCGGACTCTTTCTTTCTGCAGGAAATGACTTCTTTTTCCTTCCTATCTCTCAGAAACGTCTGTTACCCACTTTCCAATCTGCCAGAAACGACTCTTTTTTGCCCTTCCTATCTCTTAGAAACGTCTTTTACCTGCTTCTCTGTCTGCCAGAAACAACTCTTTTTTTCTCCTTCCTCTCTCCCAGAAACGACTCTTTGCCGCTTTATCTGCCAAAAACAACTCATTGTCGCTTTCTCATCTGCTAGAAACGACTTATGCCGCTTTCTTATCTGCCAAAACAAATTTTTTCCTTCCTCTCTGCAAGAAACGACTCTTTGCCGCTTTCTTATCTGCAAGAAATGACTCTTTTTTTCTCTCCTTCCTCTCTACCAGACTCTTTGCCACTTTCTCAACTGCAAGAAACGACTCTTTTTTGCCCTTCCTATCTCTTAGGATCTCTTATTTCTATTCCCTTACTTAGAATGATGTCTTACGTTGACTTTAACCATAGTTAGGTGTTGAGTATTTTCCCTATCACCAGCACCAGCACCAGCACCAGGCCAGATGTTATTTCTACGATCATTTACAGAACAGTTCCTAATTGTATCAGTATGTATGTTGAAGTATTGTATACACCCCCGGACGTTACCACTGTATTGTATCCTGGTTGTACCAATGTTTGTACCATTATTAGTCACAATCAATTTGAATAAATACGTTTAAATGTACCCTACTTTTTTTTATGGTAGTATAGAAATCATTAACAGAAAATAACCGGTCTTAATTATCCGCCCAAACAGATTTCATTGAGTGTAAACGGAAAAATAACAGTGAACATTATATGAATGGATAAATTCCAGTTATATCACAGCATGTCAGCCAAATGTGGGAGGAGTAAACTACTTCTTTGAAACCCACGGGCACGGGTATGGTTCTGACAAACCTAGTAACATAATCGGGGCGAACCGGACTTCGAACCCACAATCACTGGTTTCTGGCCTGCCCAAGGGACACAACTCTGCACAACAAATTGCGGTGCCTTAGACGACTGGGCCACCCGTGCCCCCTGGGACTTCAGAGGAAATATATAAAACATCAACTCCAGAGAATAATCACTCGATTATCTGGCAAAACAGACTTATTTGGGCGTAAAAGGCAAAATAGGGTGACAATTATATGAATGGATAAAACACAACACCAATCATCATCACTGTTATATGTTTATTGATATTCCATACATACACGCACGACATTCAGTGACGTTCCTGGAGCTAACCATTACCATGGCAACAGGAACCATAGCGAAGCCTGGGGGTTGCCAAGTCTAGGATGACATTCTTCACTGAATTAAAACTATTGGCAAAACATTCAGTATATTATATACATTTAGGAGGAAATTGTCCTTGAAAGACCTGTCAAGACATCAAAGACTAAGCATTATCTAATGAATCAGGTGTGGATGACTCGACAAGATTGAGGCTGCCAACTCACTTTTAGGTACCCAGGATTCAGGAGTCTATTCAGAGGGTATTTGGGACTCAGGGTTACGCGGGATCTAAATAAAATTGTATTTGATACACAGATTCAACATTTAAAAGAATAAATAATGTCCTTACATTTATTTTTTTATAATTTTGCAGTAGCTTAATTTAAATCACAACTTTTTCGCAGCGCTTTTGAGATTCGGGTTAATTAGTATTTGGAATTCAGGTAGGTGGGGTTGGCAATCTCATGATTGTTAATCAAAGTGAGGGAGGAACAAAACTCTCACCCTCTGGAATCTGTGAACTCTCAACATTCCAGGGGCCTGACACCCATTCCACAAAGCATCTCAGTGCTGTGACTGTCGTAAGTCTATGTTAAAGATTGGGAGTTACGAGCGTCTTAGCGCTATCACTATCGTAAGTCCATGTTAAAGTTTGGGAGTTCGGATGTCCTTAGTCAGAAACTTAAAAGACATCATGTTGCTTCAAAAAATCCTAGCCTAAAAAATTACATGGTCTGGCTTTCACATGCCCGGTCTCTGCTGTCATGGTAGAACTCAACATTCACTCCTGGTAAAATAAAAACATACAAAACACGTCCTGACAGCACTGGGCTAGGATGGGAGTGTCTCACATCTCTGAATATACTTATATAACAAATGTCCCCAAACAGGTCTTAAATGCTCTAATTGAATTCCAACATCTGGCAATGGACACAAGACTCATCTAAAAGTCACATAAACGAAGTTCACCCTGACTCATCTGAGGGTAGGTGAGTGTAGCTGTAGGAAAACCTTGTCACTTAAGACATGAAAGTTCATGACTCTTCATGCTTCACCCTGACTCATCTGAGGGTAGGTGAGTGTAGCTGCAGGAAAACCTTGTCACTTAGGACATGAAAGTGCATGAGCCAAAATGTTCATGACCCTTCATGCTTCGTTCCAATCATCCAGAGCCACGCAGCTGTTGGGTGATAAACTGGGAGTCGTAAAATACATGGAGGAATGTGGCTGGGCGATTCTGTGAACATGAAGCCAGTATGGCTGCTACATCTAGGTTCCAAATGTCCGATGAACTCACACGGGTCTAATCACACAACATCTAATCAATATATCTTCATGTACAAACTGATTAGTGAGCTAAAGGTGATAAATATATACAACATGGTATGTCCGTCTACCTTGTCCTGTTATAAGCCCTGATCACTAAAACCCTTCCTCCCATGTAAAACCTACGCCCTGATCACTAAAAACCCTTACTTGAATGTGAAACCCAAGCCCTGATCACTAAAACCCTTCCTCCCATGTGAAGGCCACGCCCTGATCACTAAAACCCCTTACTTGAATGTGAAACCCACGCCCTGATCACTAAAAACCCTTACTCAAACATGAAACCCATGCCCTGATCACTAAAACCCCTTACTTGAATGTGAAACCCACACCCTCATCACTTCCAACCCTTACTCAAACATGAAACCCAAGCCCTGATCACATACCCTTACTTGAATGTGAAACCCAAATCCTGATCACTAAAAACCCTTGCTTGAATGTGAAATCCAAGCCCTGATCACTAAAAACCCTTACTCAAACATGAAACCCATGCCCTGATCACTAAAACCCCTTACTTGAATGTGAAACCCACACCCTCATCACTTCCAACCCTTACTCAAACATGAAACCCAAGCCCTGATCACATACCCTTACTTGAATGTGAAACCCAAATCCTGATCACTAAAACCCTTGCTTGAATGTGAAATCCAAGCCCTGATCACTAAAAACCCTTACTCAAACATGAAACCCAAGCCCTGATCACATACCCTTACTTTAATATGAAACCCTAGTCCTAATTACTTCCAACCCTTACTCAAACGTGAACCCCAAGCCCTGATCACTTCCAACCCTTACTCAAACGTGAACCCCAAGCCCTGATCACTTCCAACTTACTCAAACGTGAACCCCAAGCCCTGATCACATACCCTTCCTTTAATATGAAACCCTAGTCCTAATCACTTCCAACCCTAACTCAAACATGAAACCCAAGCCCTGATCACATACGCTTACTTTAATATGAAACCCTAGTCCTAATCACTTCCAACCCTTACTCAAAAATGAAACCCAAGCCCTGATCACATACCCTTACTTTAATATGAAACCCTAGTCCTAATCACTTCCAACCCTAACTCAAACATGAAACCCAAGCCCTGATCACATACCCTTACTTTAATATGAAACCCTAGTCCTAATCACTTCCAACCCTAACTCAAACATGAAACCCAAGCCCTGATCACATACCCTTACTTTAATATGAAACCCTAGTCCTAATCACTTCCAACCCTAACTCAAACATGAAACCCAAGCCCTGATCACCCATGAACTATCCAATGATCCAATAATCATGAGCTTCAATGTGATTCATACCCCTTATAAACAAAGCATCCAATGGAGGCGAGATCTACCAGAACATCAACAAACATCCATATAAATATGTGAAACACTGATTATGATACAACTGTACAATATACATGCTCTCCGGCTACACACACACTTGTCCTTTGATCAAGTGACCTCGCACAGGCCAAACTTTCACTCTCGCTCAAACTGCATATCTAATCGTCGTATCATACAGCTGAAATGGATAGAATTATCATTAAACTGCCCGCATGTTATCAGAAATGAACGGGATACTGTAACTTGATAATGCCCTCAAATTGTATGACGACAGGGCCATTATCACGCCCATTGTTAGGTGATGCATAGGGATAGGGAAAGGTGACGTCACGTTCAACAGTGACATCATCTGGTTTGTTCTATGACGTTTCCATATTTGCAAAGGTGGGTCAGTGACATTCGTGTTGATTGCAGTAAATGTTTCAAAACTGATATTGTTGTTTCTTTTTATTTCATCCATTTTAGCTATAATAACGGTAATGCTATTTTTCAGGGCAGAAGCCCTCGGCCTTTTCAACTGCCCTCCTTCGTCGGGCAGCTAAAGGAAGACCTCAGACTTCTGCAAATAATAATGCCCTGAAAAATAGCGTTACCCTTATAATAAGACATGCATAAGACATTTTGTATAAAGCACATCAATGGCACAAAGAGTGCTAAAAATATGTTTTAAAGGACATACATTCAAAAGGACTTTTACTTCATGACAAATCACTACTTCCTAAGAGAAGGGCTACTACTCAGTGTTTGGAATAATTTAAAAATCCCCAAGACAATCGGGCAGGGGACCCATAAATGTTGCCTGCCCATCTTCGAGGTTACCTGCCCACATTCAGACATTATAAATCGCATCTTGATTCAGCTGAAATAACGCTAACACCCACTTGAGAATCTACAAGGAGTACAAAAAAACTGAATACTTTAGTTGGCTTAAAATTATCGGTCAGAGAGTCGGGCAGCCGACAGAAAAGTTACCAGCCACGGCACCCAGACAGGCAGTTATTTCGGACACTGCTACTACTCAATATTGTGATTTGTAATCAGAATCGAGTAGTTGGTAACCAAGTGGTTAGAGAGTTTGTTGTTCACGCTGACCCAAGGATCAATGGCCCAAATAGGTACAAGGAAGTCCAGTCTGAGACTTTAGCCACTGGTCCGAAGACCAAGTCTAGTAACATTCTGTTCGGTCTAGTAAAGTCAGCTAACAAAATGCAATATGACAACACTAAAAAGTACTGAAATGTTGCTTCAAATTCAGGCAAGTGGACTCAGTGTTTGGCATAGACTGAAAGATGACATGCATCGACCAAGTCAGCGAACCTGACCACCCGATCGCCTCTTACCTTGATATATGGGAGCTTGAAGATATAAGGGTGTGATTCTATTTATCATCCAAAACTATTCAACTTTTTCAGTTTTACTATAAACAGTAACAACCAACATCTGGAGTCTAAATAGTACAGCGACAGCTTCAGTGGCAGAGAGATTAGTGATGTCATTTCATCGTGATGTCATGGTAACCAATGATGTCACAATGATCTGCAAAGCATTGTGAAGTAATTTAATTAGTAGTGGTATCTACTGGAAGATATCGCTTCATTTCACCCAAGTGATATCTCCTGTGGAAGCCAAGCGATATCTCAAGTGTTGGATGATATAAAGAGCTACAATGGGTAGGCTAGAGTTACCAGAACTCTCTTGGTTCTCCACTCCGACTATTCTACACTGTCAAATCCATATTGATCATAATGTACAAAACAAAGAATACCCATGTGCAAATATCTGAAAGATATCGATCTTCCAACAATTAAATGCTAATGGTTAAATATTAACACAAATAACAAGTCATACATGTGTTAACCATACCCTACTGACCTCCGGGGATTGGTCCAGTAAATGCTGGTGACACTTCTCAAAATTCACAACATGTGGCTCTCTGATTCAGATCAACAGTCAGATCAAGACACACCACATCAAAACTACACACATCGAATTAAGGTGCAACAACAATGGTTGTTTTAGTTGGGTTTTTGTTTAATGCCACACTCAGTAATATTCCAGCTATATGACGCCGGTCTCTAAATAATCGAGTCTGGACCAGACAATCCAGTGATTGATATCATGAGCATCGATCCTCGCAATTGGGATCGATGACATGCATCAACCAAGTCAGCAAGACTGACCACACGATCTGCTTAGTTGCCCCTTACGACAAGCATAGTCGCCTTTTACGGCAAACATAGTCGCCTTTTACGACAAGCATAGTCGCCTTTTACGGCAAGCATAGTCACCTCTTACGGCAAACATAGTCGCCTTTTATGGCAAGCATAGTCGCCTCTTACGGCAAGCATAGTCGCCTCTCATGGCAAGCTTAGTCGCCTTTTACAACAAGCATAGTCGCCTTTTACGGCAAGCATAGTCGCCTTTTACGGCAAGCATGGGTTCATCAACAATGGAATTCACATTATGAGAAGTATGTTGCAAACTTCATAAAGGACCTCATGTACATAATCGGAAAACAATATTCTACAATGCAATGTCACACCATGTAAGGAGGTCTTCCATATTTGTTGTAGTAAGGCCCCAGCACCAATAGCCCCCCAACTTCTAGACCAATCTGTAATTGTAATATGCGTCCCCTCTGAGACTGAAAATTAACATGACAGTCCACATTTTCAGGTGTACACTACAATCTCATTAAAATCAGATCTTAGTTTTCGCTACCGCTAAACAAAGATCTGAGGACATCCCATAACGGGTCACGTCAGAACGACCTTTTGCGAACTTTAACTGACCAATGAAATGACTGACAAGGAATCGACATTAGCCAATCAGAAGGCAGCTTTCTCGAGCTTTACGACACAAGTTTCAAACTGGCGACTACGCTTCGAAACATATTTTGACGCATTCTCGATTAAAAAATTTAAAACTTAAAAAAAGAACATTCTGGAATGGCTTATAGATTGTATGGGTATACTAAAAAAAAAATGTAACTGTCGTTCGGAATACCCTCTGTTAATTGTTTCGAGGTTGGATGAAAAGAAAACACATTCCGTCCGTCACTTTCATGATCTGTTAAGCGACGCTCTGATTGGTTGGATGAAAGGTTCTGACGTGACCCATACTGGTATGTCCTCAGACCTTTGTTTAGCGATAGCGAGAACTAAGATCTGATTTTAATGAGATTGGTGTACACTATAGAGTGTTTTACAGAAACAGAAGGGGTATGTAATTGCCCTGTAAGTATTATGGAAGCTATACACAAGCTGTCCTGTAACACGGGCATTCCTGTCAATGGTTACAGCCCTAAAGAACACCACATAAAACTCCTCGACATCTCACACTTGCTCTCACAAGGTCTGGTTGGGAAATAATCCCAATGACTGCCATCAACATAATGCTATACTAATTCCCCGTGGATAGTTACGTCAATCTCAAACTGACATAAATGTTATAAATAGTGAGCGAGATGGGTTTAATGCTGCTATTAACAGTATTTCAGTCGTATGATGGTTTTTTAGCTTAATGCGTGAGGAAAGCTCGAAATAATGCAAGTCTTGGACGATTACCATTTTGACGAATCCAACAAGTATGGTGCTTACAAACCTAGTAACATAATCGGGGCGAACCCGAGATTTAATTTAGAATCAAAGGAGACTTGTATTAAAATATGGATGAATATACTTCTTGTGAACACATTCTAATTTGGGCAAAATTCACACTTACAACCCAGTTTTCACATGACTTTCATACATGCAGAATTCCACACAATAATGATACAACTTCATGAGAGAGTCCGGTACATGATTAACAAATGATTGATTCCCATCGTCATGACGATCATGTCTTGCGAGGCTTGGCTTTCTTCCTGGCGGCGGCGGCGGCACTGATGTCCTGCATGGGTTCGGGCGTGGCGGTCATCACGTCGTACTGCGGAGGCTTCATCATGCTCTGGACCTGGTCGATGCCCTGACTCATGAACGGCAGGACCTGCAGTGAGGAAGCTGGAGTTGTAGAGACGCCATACACAACCCCGGAACACATTTAGATCTGGCTTCAGTCACAACTGTAATGAGTGAGTATGGTTTTACGCCGCTTTTAGCAATATTCCAGCAATATCACGGCCGGGGACACCAGAAATGGGCTTCATATGTTGTACCCATGACGGGAATCGAACCTGGGTCTTCGGCGTGAAAAGCGACGCTTTAACCACTAGGCTACCCGACCGCCCCCAGTCACAACTGTAAAACAAACTATCCGTCTACCCAGACTTAGTTGGAGGTGAGGTGAAATGGGGTTTAACGTCGCGTCCAAGATTATTGTGCTAACATAGCGACCTGCATGAAGGTGTGCGTGTGTATGTAGCTGCTTGTACTAGTCCGGACTGATGCTGATTTATAGTGCTAGCTCACTGAGATACCATGCCGCAGTTTAACATGAATACCCCACGCAGACACAGTATACTGACTCCGAGCCGACCAGTCCTTGTTTTAGCCCCTTAATGCCGAGCGCCAGGCAGGGTAACAACAAATACATCTTTTGGTATGACGCAGCTGGGGATCGAACCCCAGACCTTCCACTCTCTGGGTACACACTCTACCACTAGACCATGGAGGTTGTCTTAATACTGCCTGTTCAAGTTGAGTCTCTGGTCAGAGTTAATTTGCCAGCACCTTTTGGGCAGTGGTCCCTACAACTGTTGTAATTCCATGTTAACGCCCTAAGCCATTATACAAAGACATTTTAGTGCCACACCTTTTTGTAAGTCCACATTAAGACAATCATGACCATTTCACAAAGGGATTTTAGCACTACGCTTTTTTGTAAGTCCACATCAAAACGAAATCATTTCACAAAGGGATCTTAGCGTCATGCCTTATGGTAAGTCCACATTAAAACGATCATGACCATTTGACAAAGGGATTTTAGCACATCGCCTTTAAAACGATCATGACCATTTAACAAAGTGATTTTAGCTCATCGCCTTTAAAACGATCATGACCATTTGACAAAGTGATTTTAGCACATCGCATTTAAAACGATCATGACCATTTCACAAAGGGATTTTAACACATCGCCTTTAAAACGATCATGACCATTTCACAAAGGGATTTTAGCACATCGCCTTTAAAACGATCATGACCATTTAACAAAGGGGATTTTAGCATCATGCCTTTTTGTAAGTCCACGTTATTACGATCATGACCATTTAACAAAGGGATTTTAGCACATCGCCTTTAAAACGATCATGACCATTTAACAAAGGGATTTTAGCGTCATGCCTTTTTGTAAGTCCATGTTATAACGATCATGACCATTTCACAAAGGGATTTTAGCACATTCCCTTTAAAACGATCATGATCATTTGACAAAGGGATTTCACTAGTATGATTGCAGCATGTCCATGTTAGTGTACACGAGTTGTCTCTAGGAGTAAAAGCAGACTGTAGCGACATGAGTGTTGCTGCCTGTGACGTGAGTGTGCCGCCCACCTTCTGGTAGTTGTAGGCGAGGTAGACGGCTCCGAGGAGGAGGGGAAGGAGGAGGAAGGAGCCGCTACTCAACTCCTGCTCCAGGGATTTGCGCTGAAACAGAGAGACAAGCTCATCAGTAATACTGCAGCAGCTTCTATACAGTACCACACATGTTGTACATCATCACATGTACAGGACTCTCCCCATGGAGATGAGAATAGGTCTACATATGATGATTATTATTATTGTTGATGTGAGAATGTTTATCATCATCATCGCCAAAGTGATCATCATCAGCAGCAGCAGCAGCATCAGCATCATTGCCCAAGTGATCATCATCATCATCATCAGCAGCAGCAGCAGCAGCATCATTGCCCAAGTGATCATCATCATCATCATTGCCCAAGTGATCAGCAGCAGCAGCAGCAGCAGCAGCAGCAGCATCATTGCCCAAGTGATCATCATCATCAGCAGCAGCAGCATCATCATCATTGCCCAAGTGATCATCATCATCAGCAGCAGCAGCAGCAGCAGCAGCATCATTGCCCAAGTGATCATCATCATCATCATTGCCCAAGTGATCATCATCATCATCAGCAGCAGCAGCATCATTGCCCAAGTGATCATCATCATCATCAGCAGCAGCAGCATCATCATCATCATCCATCATCATCAGCAGCAGCATCACCATCATCATTGCCCAAGTGATCATCATCATTGCCCAAGTGATCATCATCATCATCATCATTGCCCAAGTGATCATCATCATCATCATCATTGCCCAAGTGATCATCATCATCATCAGCAGCAGCAGCAGCATCATTGCCAAAGTGATCATCATCATCATCATCATCATCATCATCATCATCCTCATCATCATCATCCATCATCATCAGCAGCAGCACCAGCAGCAGCATCACCATCATCATTGCCCAAGTGATCATCATCATTGCCCAAGTGATCATCATCATTGCCCAAGTGATCATCATCATCATCATCACCACCATCATCATCATCATCATCAGCAGCAGCAGCAGCAGCAGCAGCATCACCATCATCATTGCCCAAGTGATCATCATCACATCATCATCATCACCACCATCATCATCAGCATCATCGCCGTCGTCTTCGTCGTCCAAGTGAACCAGAATTTAGCTCATGTGTTAATTATAATACTCATAATCATTATTCCACCATGAAAAGGAAAGCACAGCGATAATAACGCACATAGACTGACATAACAAAGGCCCAGGACATGGAGGAATCTCTACACAGTGGTCTTACCTTCGGCTGGAAGACGAGTGTGAAGTGATGGTAGGTGGTGTTGGCGGTGAACAGTACTTCGGGGAGTGAGTAGTCATACATGCCCTTGTGGAGGGTGCTCTCCACCCGTATGGTGTACACCTGGACAAACAGAATATGATGACACATTCAGACAGAGAGTAACCACCAGAGTGAGTGAGTGAGTTAGGTTTAACGCCGCTTTTTTACAGTATTCCAGTTATATCGCAGCGTGTCAGCTTAATGTGGGAGGAAAGCCCGAAGTGAAGCAGGTCTCAGATGTTTACCACTTCAGTGAAACCCACGAGCACGGGTATGGTACTGACAAACCTAGAAACATAACTGGGGTGAACCGGGATTCGAACCCACATCATAGGTTTCTGGCGAGCCCAAGGGACGCAACTCTACACAGCGAATGACGGCGCCTTAGATGACTGGGCGACCCATGCCCCCTAGTACCCACCAAACCTCATATTGGAGGCAGCTCTTACAAGAAGTTTGTTTGGTTGCTGTTTAACGCCGCACGCAGCAATATTCCAGCTATATGACAACAGTCTGTAAATAATCAAATCTGGACAACACAATCCCGTGATTGACATCATGAACATCAACCTAATCAAGGCAGCTTAAAAAAGTAAAAACCCATCACCTAGGAAGAAGCTTCAACAAATTCCTTAAACTGTTCATATTTTTTCTGTGTTTTCCATCTCCCGCCCTGCCCTGAATTTTTTTTCAGACGTGAAAAAACACAACTAGTGAAAAACATTGTCCATATTTTTTACATTTTTTAAAACTTCCGTCCGCCTCTTGCTGGTTGAGGTTCGAGATGAGAAACACATAAAAAACATGGATGGCCTTACCAACATGGCGGAATGTATCCAGTAGTTCTAGTCTAGATATATTCTGACGGATTACTTAAAGACCCCACCAGCCCAATCACTGACAACCTGACCTGGGTGCTGGAGTCGTACTTGACCCAGCCACAAACAGGGGTCTGTGTTCCTGGTATTGTTGACCTACCTTGCTATCGATGGGGAGGGAGGGCATGTAGAAGAAGGTGGTGACGGCCATGTTGATGGTGTGGATGGGGCTGTCGGGGGAGTCCTCACGGTACAGCAGCACCTGCAGCAAACAGATAAATTACACATACGGTCTGCAGCCGTAACCATGGTAACAATGAACCTGCTCCGCCCAGACACTGTTGTTGCACCACCGAGAATTCACTCACATGCTATCACAATCTCAAAAAGGGATCTGAAGACATCCAATTACTGGTCACGCCAGAACGACCTTTCGTGAACTTTGACCGACCACTGAAACGACTAACAAGAAGTCGACATCAGCCAATTGGAAAGCAGCTTTCTCGAGCTTTACGGCACTCGTTTCAACCTGGTGACTTCCATTTCAGACTACGCTTGAAAAATACGTTGACACGGTTCTCGATTAAAATTTTGAAAACTGAACAAACGAACATTCATGAATGTCTAATATATGGTTGCGATTGTATTGCTTCCCACATACTGTGCAACGCCTCCTCCATTCAAATGTTTTATCCCACGGAAGCGAGAGGCAGACGATAATTTTGATGGAATCAGTCGTACGGACCGTAACTGTCGTTCCGAATACCCCGTGTTAACATTTTCGAGGTTGCATGATTAGAAGACACATTCTGACTGTCACTTTCATGATCTGGTAAGCGACGCTTTGATTGGTCAGACGAAAGGTCGTTCTGACGTGACCCGTAATGGGATGTCCTCAGATCTTTGTTTAGCGACAGCGAGAACTAAGATCTGATTTCAATGAGATTGATGTTATAATTTCACATTGGCTTTCAGGGGGTTTCCTCGGGTGTTCAGTATATTCCTACTCCTTTGGGTCCAGCATACTGGGTACAGTAAATCGGGAATATCATGCGTCTCCAAAAGAATGCGACCACTGGCCCCTATCCAAAAATGCGACTCAATATGAATGCAACACCCCCCTCCTCTCAAGCATCTTAAGAAAACATCCCCTATCAAGGTTTACAGGAGAATCCTCACCTTAATCCAACCATACATTAATCCAATCACACACCAAATAGCACCGCTTATTAGCGCTGAGTAGAGTACTACCGCTAAAACAATACATGCGCGCTGGCTCGTGTCGGCCTTTGACGCAGTCGCAAAGAACAAAGACACCGTGTTGCGTGGGTGGTGTCTGTCTGGACTTGCAGGTGTGATCAGTGATGACATAATGAGTAGAACTCTTGTCTTGACCCCAGCAGTGACAATTCACAGGATTCACAAGTGCTGCTCAATAAACAGTGGTGTCGAATACAGAGTTGTTTGTTTTCAGCATATGTCTGAATTGGTATTTCTGCTATCCAAAATGTCTTATTGTTGATATGAATGCGATGTTTAATAATGCGAGCAAAGACTCGCATTTTTCGCATCTAATTCAACATGTGTTCACGCTCGGGTTAATTTCAAGATTTACAGTATTTGACACCAATGAGTAGACATTTTCTTCAAAAATTCTGCGGAAATTCTGTTTCAGGTGACAACACGTTTTCCCATCATAATTAGTCTGCAGTTACGTAGAAACACAAGTTATAATTATTGATAAGTTCAAATTTAGTGTTTTTTCACCAAAACTGAATTAGCGAGTTTATGACGAGTATTTGTTTCCCCTCAGCCTCATTAGATCAGAACCTCCACTGTGAGTCAGGATGAATGTGAACATCATCGGGGAGACAAACAAAGTAGGGCGGGGACAAGTCCAAATTTACTTCCCGGGTACCCGACCCCCTATTACCTGACCCTACCCGGGTACCCACTGCAAGTCTCAAGTTGGGAACAAAATGTGTGATCAGTAATTGTGTGATGAAGACCTGCATGAATCAGGAGAGGCCAACTACCCACCTTGAGGGAGGCCAGGTGCTCCTGGGGCACGATGATGTTGCCACTGATGTCCAGTTGGTTGAGGTGGCGGAAGGCAATCACGTTCACGTCCTGGAAGTCTTTACTGTCAACCTACAAGTGTGGAAACAAAGAGTGAGTGAGTGAGTGAGTGAGTTGGGTTTTAAGCCGCTTTTAATAGTATTCCAGTTATATCACGGCGTGTCAGCTTAATGTGGGAGGAAAGCCCCAAGTGATGCAGGCCTCAGACGTTTACCACTTCGGTAAAACCCACGAGCACGGGTATGGTGCTGACAAAGCTAGATACATAATTGGGGCGAACCGGGATTCGAACCCACAATCCTAGGTTTCTGGCGTGCCCTAGGGACGCAACTCTGCACAGCAAATCGCGGCGCCTTAGACCCCGTTGAAACAAAGAGTGATCAGACACACAGGAGTGAACAGACCTGTGATACATATGACCATTTGTCTCTCTGTTTGTTCAGTTTGTTTGTTTGTTGTTTAACACCTCACTCAGCTATATTCCAACTATATGATGGCGTTCTGTAGACATTGATGTCTGAACCAGACAATCCAGTGATTGACATCATGAACATCAATCTAAGCAATTGGGATGTGATGACATGCATCAAACCAAGGCAGCGAGCCCTACAACCCGAACCCGTTTGTCGCCTCTTCTGACACGCATAGATGCCTCTTACGACAAGTCCAAATGTACGTCCTCTTATTACCCGACCATACCCTGCCGTAGGTCTCAAGAGCTGGGTACAAAACATCCGACTGGGAATTGTTTTATGGTAGACCTCGCAAAAAGTATTTAGATACATGCATAAAACCCTCTGGTCATACTTATAATGAAGTTCACTTTATCTTTATTACTACAGTCAGAAGGAATATTAACATTTATGACCTGCAGTGACACCATGATGTTATAGTGAATTTTTACCAATAAACAATACATCACATGATTAACCATGAGTCCAGGGAGGTCATCATGTTCACCTACAGAAAGACCAGTGGTTGATAGCACGAGCAACAAGAGGAGAATGTACACGTGGTCTGCTTACCTTGAGTACCCTGGACTTTGGGGCTGTCCTCTCTATGTGCGTGTTCACCTCGCCACCCTTCAGGCGCAGCACGTAATCACACTTGGGCTGCAAGAAATGACAACACGACTGTGACCTTCACTGACTCACCCTAAACTACCCCTCTTTAGAAAACTGTAGCAGAGCACAAGTGAGTGAGTGAGTTTAAATTTAACATCGAATCAGCATTATTTCAGCAATATAGGGACACCAGAAATGGGCTTCACACATTGTACCTATATGGGGAATCAAACCGAGGCCTTTGGCATGACAAGCGAACACTTTCACCACTGTGCTACCCCACCGGCCCAGAGCACAACCAAAGTGAGGCAGATAAACATTCTGAGTTTCAATCTATGCCACCATGGTCACCTGTAGACTTGACTGACCTATATTGAGTGAGTGAGTGAGTTGGGTTTAATGCCGCTTTTAACAGCATTCCAGTTATGTCACGGCGTGTCACCTTAATGTGGGAGGAAAGCCCCAAGTGATGCAGGTCTCAGACATTTACCACTTCGGTGAACTCCACGAGCACGGGTATGGTGCTGACAAACCTAGAAACATAATCGGGGCGAACCGGGATTCGAACCCACAATCATAGGTTTCTGGCGTGGCCAAGGGACGCAACTCTGCACAGCGAATCACGGCGCCTTAGACAACTGGGCCATCCGTGCCCCCGACCTATATTGAACTTGGTAGCATTATGTAGCATCAATTGAGTGATGGGAGTCTGATCCACGCAGTTGTCTGTTGATTAGTTAACGAGGGCCCATGCTGTACAGTATGATACCACAGTCAGGTAACATACCATAAGTATATTTTAGGAATATGACGTCAATATGACGTTTGGTAAAATGGAGTTTAACGCTGTGTTCAAAATTATTTCACTTATGTAACAAATGTAATATTTGGAATAACACTTCATTGGTTCAAAGTACATGATCTAGAATACCAGTTGTCAGACTTTCAGTTTGTGGAAGCCTTGGTGGCTGAGTGGGTTAGATCGCTGACTTTGTGTGCTGGCAATTTGGTGCCTCACTCTGGCAAGTGTGGGTTCGAATCCCGGACGGGACAACCCAAAAAGGTATGAGAATCTGCACTTTACTAAGGTAGTGTTATCCCAAATATAATATTTGTTACATTTGATCCCTTTCTGAATGGCATTGTGTGTATATTTCACTTATATTGCTACATGCAAGCACATGTGTGTGTGGCTGCTTGTACTAGTCTGCAGTATTGACAGTTATAGTGCCTGACCAATGAGGAACCATACTACAATTTCACATGGTACCCCTCTCAGACAGCATACTGTGATCCGACAGTCTCTGAGTGGGGTATCCATGTTAAACTGCAGCATAATATCTCAGTGGGCTAGCACTATAAAACTGGCTTTAGTCATGGTCAAAGGAAAATTAACATAATACATACAAAATTTAATTTGATGACAGTGAATAAAAATATGACTTATTTAGAAAAGGTGTAAATGTGGATCCAAAATGCCGATGTGGCAGCCCATGTGAAAATTCATATCATTTTTTCATTGAATATTTTTTATTTAAATCAGCTAGAAACGAATTGATGCACTCACTGTGTAAATTGTGAAAGATTCTTGTGATGTAAATATTAACCTGAGACTAGTTTGCAATGCAGTTATACCTAATCATGTGAAGGAAAGCATTTTTATGAATGTACACACATATAACATATTCGACGTAATAAGCGCTCTCAAAATAAGAAATAGGGGGCTCTTATAAGAATATTATTTCGGTGAAAAGAAAAGAGTTGAAAGATAAATTTCGTGGTTTATGCTGACGGCCTGAAATGTTTATATACGACAGATATATTTTTCCAGAATTTAATTGCCCATAATTAAGGGTACATATAACACACGAGTGCGTGTTATATGCGAATAAATAAGTCTTGTGTACATTGATCAATCAGAAGGGGTGCTAATTGCGATTGTTCACTTGCCAATATGTTAGCCATTATCGCCGTGGGCTCTTATTAGAGCGGGGTGCTTATTACGTCGAATAGGGTTTAACGAAAACAAAAAGGTTTGAGTGAGCAATGTGAATGTACATATGCTTTTCTATTTCTTTTCTTTCCTTTCTGTCATTTATTTTATTAATTGTAAATATGCATACATGTAAATCTACGGGAGAGGGCGTTCTAAGTTGTGATAACTTGTGCCCAATCCTTTTCATGAGAATAAAATATGTTTGAACTAAACTAACCGGCATAAGTCTAGGCCAGTAAAAGCAGCCACACCAACACACCCACATGCATGCAGCTGTATAAGTACAATAAGTACAATAAAGTACAATAAACCAGGGCATCCTTAATCTCCATGTCCCTCACAGGAGTACACGCCTATGATACAGCTTGACAGCAGATCGTACCCCATGTCCCTCACAGGAGTACAAGCCTATGTTACAGCTCGGCGGCAGATCGTACCCCATGTCCCTAACAGGAGTACAAGCCCATGTTACAGCTCGACAGCAGATCGTACCCCATGTCCCTCACAGGAGTACAAGCCTATGTTACAGCTCGACAGCAGATCGTACCCCATGTCCCTCACAGGAGTACAAGCCTATGTTACAGCTCGACAGCAGATCGTACCCCATGTCCCTCACAGGAGTACAAGCCTATGTTACAGCTCGACGGCAGATCGTACCCCATGTCCCTCACAGGAGTACAAGCCTATGTTACAGCTCGACAGCAGATCGTACCCCATGTCCCTCACAGGAGTACAAGCCCATGTTACAGCTCGACGGCAGATCATACCCCATGTCCCTAACAGGAGTACAAGCCTATGTTACAGCTCGACGGCAGATCATACCTCAAGACCCCTGATGCGGTAGTACAAGCCTATGTTACAGCTCGACGGCAGATCATACCTCGAGGCCCCTGATGCAGTAGTACAAGCCTATGTTACAGCTCGACAGCAGATCGTACCCCATGTCCCTCACAGGAGTACAAGCCTATGTTACAGCTCGGCGGCAGATCGTACCCCATGTCCCTCACAGGAGTACAAGCCTATGTTACAGCTCGGCGGCAGATCGTACCCCATGTCCCTCACAGGAGTACAAGCCTATGTTACAGCTCGACTGCAGATCGTACCTCCAGTCCCCTGATGCGGTAGGTTCCGTCCTGCTCCGTCTTGCTCTCCTCCTGGTACCCGGAACACTTGTCCTGGCCCACCGCCTCCACCACAATGCCAGGCTCTGGCTCCCCGTTCAGGGACGTCACCCGGCCGTAACAGCTGCAGGAAATGAAGACAGCTGCATGAGGTGAGGTGAGGTGAAATTGGGTTTAACGTCGCGTCCAAGATTATTGCACTTATATAGCGACGTGCATGCACGTGTATGTGTGTGTGTGTGTGGCTGCTTGTACTAGTCCGGACTGATGCCGATTTAAAGTGCTAGCTCACTGAGATACCATGCCGCAGTTTAACATGAATACCCCAGTCAGACACAGTATACTGACTCCAAGCCGACCAGTCCTTGTTTTAGCCCCTTAATGCCGAGCGCCAGACAGGGTAACAACAAGTACAATCTTTTAACGTCTTTTTGCATGACGCGGCCCGGGATCGAACCCTGGACCTTCCGCTCTCCGGGCGGACGCTCTACCACAAGACCACGGAGGCGGTCTGACAGCTGCATGAACTGTCAACCCTACATAGAATCTTCACGCACGTCAGTCTAGTGTTCAGGTGATGTAATATATGGACGCCACGAACAATGGCACACGTCATATTGTATTGTTCTCAATAATGAAGGAATCATTAATTTTCAACTGACCAATCAGCATTGAGAATAACTAAAATGCCCATATGCATCTTCCCAAGGCAAGTGAGTTAACTGACTGTAAAAGTCCAGTTTCCACCCTTGTTGACCTGGGCTGGAATTCTGGAGTTATATTTTGGCTCGACTAATGAGTCTATGCATAGTCCAAGCAAAATACCATAACGAACTTTAGATCCGGTTTGTAAACATATATTCAACATGCAGATTGTGGTCAACTGCAAAATTAGCAAAGCATGTGTACCGTCAGCTGGGTGTCGACCGATATTTTCCAAATCTTTTCATGTTTTAATCAAGGTGCTCAAATGATTTCATGCACTTCTCAAGGTAAGACCCATTTTATTACAATAAAAATCTTGATTATCGACCAGATCGTCTTGACTTGGCACTACCATTTTGTTTGAAGCAAATACAAGTGACATGAGAGGTTGAATCTGATTGGTCAATAGGAGAGGCATAGAAAGGACATAACTCGTAATAGCCACTGGTGGCGCTACGATCGAGCCCAGGAATTCTAGCCTAGTTCGGCAAGGGTGGAAACTGGACTTTCAAAGTCAGTTAACTCGCTTGCCTCGGGAAGATGATGCCTGACCGCCTCCGTTGTCTAGTGGCAGAGCGGAAGGTCCGGCTGCGTCATACCAAAAGACGTTAAAAGATGGGACTTGTTGTTACCCTGTCCGGCGCTGGCATTAAGGGGCTAAAACAAGGACTGGTCGGCTCTGAGTGGGCTAGCACTATAAATCGGCATCAGTCCGGTCACTACAAGCACGCACGCACACACGTTGATTCTGTTTGGTCAATATGAGGGACACAAAAGGGACATAACTCCTTATAGCCACTGGTGGTGCTACCATCTAGCCACGAAAATCCAGCCTAGTTCGGCTTACGTCATGTTAACACCCTTGACTGGGGCACACATCTTCCCGAGGCAAGAGAGTTAACTGACTTTAAAAGTCCAGTTTCCTCCCTTGCCGAACTAGGCTGGTATTACTGGCCTCGATCGTAGCGCCACCTGTGGCTATTACCAGTTATGTCCCTTCTAAGCCTCTCCTATGGACCAATCAGATTCCGACTCTCGTATCACTTGCGTTTGCTTCACACAAAATGGTGGCACCCAGTCAGGACGTTCTGATCGATAATCACGATCTATTTTGTGATAAAACGGGTCTTACATCGCGAAATGCATCAAATCACGTGAGCACCTTGATTAAAAACATGAAAAGATTTTGAATAATATCTGTTGACAACGAGTTGGCGGTGAACATTCTTTGCAAATACTGCAGTCGATCGAAATCTGCACGACAGTTTACGAACCGGATTTCGATTTCGGTGCGCGAATCTGATTGGACTATGCATAGATTCGTTAGTCCAGCCAAAATGTAACTCCATAATACCAGCTTAGTTCGGCAAGGGTGGAAACTGGACTTTTATAGTCAGTTAACTCTCTTGCCTCGGGAAGATGGGGGTACATGGCATGTGCAAACATCAGAAAGTTACCAAACTCAACCATTCTATTGTTATGGGTATAATTGAATTTGATAGATGTACTTAACTTCTAAGCAGTGTTGAACATGTTGAAAAGCCATGGTGGCCCTTGATTTTCTGATTTCAATGCAGGGACCCATTTATCTTCTTAATTCAGCACCATGAACAATTACTTGATGTCTAAAACTGTTGCATATATTTCACAGACACATCAATGAAGAACACTTGCGACTGACCTGTAGGCCACTCTGGCTCCGGTGATGGTGATCTTGCGTGTTGTTCCCTCCTGAACGTCGATCATCTGGGAGGATGGCTCGAACTTGTACTCCTTCATCATGGGGCGCAGGAAGTACTGGCCAGGACTCTGTGGGCGACACGCAATGCACTCATCTCCATGGCAACACACTTATCTCCATGGCAACGCACTTATCTCCACAGCAACACACTCATCTCCATGGCAACGCACTCATCTCCATGGCAACACAGTTATCTCCATGGCAACACACTCATCTCCATGGCAACACACTCATCTCCATGGCAACACACTCATCTCCATGGCAACACACTCATCACACTCATGGCAACCCCCCCATAGCAGGTCGTGTCCGGTGCACTTTCTAATCGGCCAATCAGTGTCAAGGTTTACAAATTCTCGGTAGGTATTAACCGTGCATTCACAACTCATTAACTGACAGCTGTATCATGAAAACAAACTTAAAGGATGAGTTCTGAATGTAAATAATAAAGGTCATGCCATTATATTGTTGTGGGTATATACACCATGGCCTCTATACCCAAAAGGAATATCTGTGTTCTTTGCTTTTCGTAAAATACAATTTCCCAATGGAGCATTTGTGGAGGTGGAAAAGGAGCCGAATCCTTATAGAAAGCTGATATCTGATGGCTATCCTGTTCCCCATAGGGAGACAACGCCTGAAAACTGGATGTTTACGGTAAATTAGGCCAGGACCCTTCCAGTTTGTTTGTTTGTTTGTTTGTTTGTTTGTTTGTTGGGTAATGCCCTACTCAGCAATATTCCAGCTATATGATGGCTGCCTGTAAATGATGGAGTCTGGACCAGACAATCCAGTGACTGATCTGAGAAATGTCCCTGACTACAGTCTGCAATGACGTTCAATAAACGAAGTCCCCAAGTCTAACCACCCAATCACACAGTCTCCCCATACAGCCAGCATAGGTTGTGGGTACCAGTTCTAACCCTGAATCACCACGGGAGAGACAAGAGAACAGCAATCCACACAACAACACTACACAACTTCATCACTTCTGAACAACCAACAAGGACATATTCGACCAAGCACAAAAACACAACAAAAATGTCATTCCATCAGTAAACATTTCTCCTAAACAAACTTGTATGTTTTGTTTGTTTGTTGTTTAACGCCGCACTCAGCAATATTCCAGCTATATGACGGCAGTCTGTAAATAATCGAGTCTGGACCAGACAATCCAGTGATTGACGTCATGAGCATCGATCTACGCAGTTGGGATACGATGACATGCATCAACCAAGTCAGCGAGCCTGACCACCCGATCCCGTTAGTCGCCTCTTACGACAAGCATAGTTGCCTTTTACGGCAAGCATGGGTTGCTGAAGAGCTATTCTACCCCGGATCTTCACGGGTCCAAACTTGTATGGGCAAGGTAACTATTACACAGTACTTACCAGAGCAGTGAAGGCGATGGTTCCATTGTCGCCGGTGACGTTGTTGCTGCGGTACTGGTTGCCGCCACTGAGAGACAACAGCACCGTTGACAGCGCACGTTTGGCCTCGTCCACAACCTAGGGTCGTCAATGTGTTGTTAGTGACATTCTGAACATGTGAAATATGTAATCTGGTTGTTTAACGCCGCACTCAGCAATATTCTAGCTATATGACAGCAGTCTGTAAATAATCGAGTCTGGATCAGACAATCCAGTGATAAATATCATGAGCATCAATCCACGCAATTGGGATTGATGACGTGCATCAACCAAGTCAGCAAGCCTGACCAACCAATCCCGTTAGTCGCCTTAAACGACAAGCATAGTCGCCTTTTACGGCAAGCATAGGTTGCTGAAGACCTATTCTACCCCTGGAATGGACAGGAAAAACGGAATGTGTTGCCATATCAGAGATAGGTTTTGAAAAAGCTTGTTTGATTATCACCAGAAATACACACATTGTACCCATTTCGGGAATCGAACCCGGGTCTTCGGAGTGATGAGCGAACGCTTTAACCACTAGGCTACCCGACCGCCCCCCAAGCAATTGGGATAAGATGACATGCATCAATCAAGTCAGCGAGCCTGACCACCTGATCCCGTTAGTCGCCTCTTATGACAGCAAGTATGGGTTGCTGAAGACCCATGCTTACCCAAATCTTCATGAGTCAATAATGAAGTCTGTCGAGACAGCAAGTCCTATGCAGTCCTATCCTATACAGTCTCCCAGTATGACAAGCAATCAACAGCTGGAGAACTATTCCTGCCTTGTTGCCATAGGTGAAATGGGGCTTAGCGTTGCATTCTAGATAATTGTACTTATATGTGTGTGGTTGTGTAGGGCTGCTTGTACTGGTCAGGACTAATGCTGATTTTATACTGCTAGACCACTTAGATACCGCGACACAGTTTAACATGAATACCCCACCTAGACACGTATACTGACTCCGAGCCGACCAGTCCTTCTTTTAGCCCCTTGATAGGGCTAGGACGGGTAACTCGGGTACCTGGGTCGGGTGGGTACTGAGTAGGAACCAGGTACCGACAGGACTACCCGGACCTGTGGTTAGTCGCGTGATATAATGTTTAATGACAAACATGATCTAGAACTCTATGGTTACACTACAAGTCACCAACGTTCGCATTTCTTTCTAACTATGCACCCATTCCTTCTGATTTTTCATATGGTTGAATATAGATATTACTTAAGTCAACTTCAGTGTATGAATGACCAGATTGTTTAATACATGTATCTAAATACGTTTTGCCAGGGCTATGCAAAAAAAGTTCCCAATCGGACATTTTGAGACATCTCTTGAGACCTACAGCGGGTACCCGGGTAGGCTCGGGTAATACGGGTGGGGGTACCCGGGTCGTAAATTTGGACTCGTCCCAGCCCTACCCAGCACTAGGCAGGGTAACAACAAGTACCATCTTTAAACATCTTTAGATATAACAGGCCGGGGATCGAAACCTGGACCTTTCTGCTCTCCACACAGACACTCTACCACTAGGCCACGGAGGCGGTCCTTCCAAATACAAAGGGACTTACTGTGACCTGCCCCTCCCCGAGTTTGAATGCCCTGAAGACAGGCCACGGAGGCAGTCATTCCAAATACAAAGGGACTTACTGTGACCTGCACCTCCCCGAGTTTGAATGCCCTGAAGACAGCCTGCTGGCCCTTCTCCTTGGTGAGCATGTAGCCGGTCTTCTCCGCAGACACGTCATACATCACGTCGCTGTGTAGGGGGCCCACTCTGTAACATTTGTTTGTTTGTTGTTTTACGCCGCACACGGCAATATACCAGCTATATGACGACAGTCTATAAATAATCGAGTCAGGACCAGACAATCCAGTGACTGACATCATGAGCATCGGTCCACACAATTGGGTTCGATTACATGCATCGTCCAAGTCAGCTAGCCTGACCACCCGATCCCATTAGTCGCCTCTTACGACAAGCATAGTCGCCTTTTACAGCAAGCATGGGTTGCTGGAGACCTTTTGTACCCCGGATCTTCACGGGTCCGACTCTGTAACAGCATTACCATGGTTAGTCTCATAGAAGTTGTACAGAGTTACCATGGTTACAGTCTCAGAGCAGGTCAGTGTTACCATGATTACAGTCTCACAACAGGTCAGTGTCAGTATGGTTACAGTCTCATAGAAGGCACACAGAGTTACCATGGTTACAGTCTCACAACAGGTCTGTGTTACTATGGTTACAATCTCATAGAAGGCACACAGTGTTACCATGGTTACAGTCTTGCAGCAGGTCAGTGTTACTATGGTCACAGTCTCATAGAAAGCACACAGTGTTATCATGGTTACAGTCTCACAACAGGTCAGTGTTACTATAGTTACATTCTCATAGTAGGTGCAGTAGTGTCACAAATATCACAGCCACATAGCAGCCTTTCTAATACCAGCCCAGCTGTCGTTAGTGACAGTGGTATGATATGCACATGTAGACACAAGCTGAATATAATTCCTGTTGTATGTGGTATTAATATTAAGTTATTGATTTAAGTAATTTCCATTTAAAACTTGACAGCATCAAGTCCTCTGTCCTTGTGAAATCATTAGTTGCGCCCACGTACTTGAACTTCCCAGAGGCCTCTGTGTGGAGGACGATGGTGTCGATGGAGCCGTCCTGGGCGGTGACGGAGATCTTCACCCCTTCCAGTGCAGGCTTCACCTGCCCCAAGATAAACACTCCCCTCTTGCCCTCGAACACGGCCACCTCCCCGGGGCAGAGGTCTGGGAAACACCAGAGAAATACATCATTTAGTGCTAAGATCTATGTTTAGTGTGAGGTGTTGCAGCACTAAGATCTATGTTTAGTGTGGTGTGTTGCAGCACTAAGATCTATGTTTAGTGGGATGTGTTGCAGCACTAAGATCTATGTTTAGTGTGGTGTGTTGCAGCTCTAAGATCTATGTTTAGTGGGATGTGTTGCAGCACTAAGATCTATGTTTAGTGTGGTGTGTTGCAGCACTAAGATCTATGTTTAGTGTGGTGTGTTGCAGCACTAAGATCTATGTTTAGTGTGGTGTGTTGCAGCACTAAGATCTATGTTTAGTGTGGTGTGTTGCAGCACTAAGATCTATGTTTAGTGTGATGTGTTGCAGCGCTAAGATCTATGTTTAGTGTGAGGTGTTTCAGCGCTAAGATCTATGTTTAGTGTGATGTGTTGCAGCGATAAGATATATGTTTAGTGGGATGTGTTGCAGCGCTAAGATCTATGTTTAGTGTGGTGTGTTGCAGCTCTAAGATCTATGTTTAGTGGGATGTGTTGCAGCATTAAGATCTATGTTTAGTGTGAGGTGTTTCAGCACTAAGATCTATGTTTAGTGTGATGTGTTGCAGTGCTACGATCTGTTTAGTGTGAGGTGTTTCAGGACTAAGATCTATGTTTAGTGTGATGTGTTGCAGCTCTAAGATCTATGTTTAGTGTGGTGTGTTGCAGCACTAAGATCTATGTTTAGTGTGGTGTGTTGCAGCACTAAGATCTATGTTTAGTGGGATGTGTTGCAGCACTAAGATCTATGTTTAGTGTGGTGTGTTGCAGCTCTAAGATCTGTTTAGTGGGATGTGTTGCAGCACTAAGATCTATGTTTAGTGTGGTGTGTTGCAGCACTAAGATCTATGTTTAGTGTGATGTGTTGCAGCGCTAAGATCTATGTTTAGTGTGAGGTGTTTCAGCGCTAAGATCTATGTTTAGTGTGATGTGTTGCAGCGATAAGATATATGTTTAGTGGGATGTGTTGCAGCGCTAAGATCTATGTTTAGTGTGGTGTGTTGCAGCTCTAAGATCTATGTTTAGTGGGATGTGTTGCAGCGCTAAGATCTATGTTTAGTGTGAGGTGTTTCAGCACTAAGATCTATGTTTAGTGTGATGTGTTGCAGTGCTACGATCTGTTTAGTGTGAGGTGTTTCAGCACTAAGATCTATGTTTAGTGTGATGTGTTGCAGCACTAAGATCTATGTTTAGTGGGATGTGTTGCAGCACTAAGATCTATGTTTAGTGGGATGTGTTGCAGCATTAAGATCTATGTTTAGTGGGATGTGTTGCAGCACTAAGATCTATGTTTAGTGGGATGTGTTTCAGGACTAAGATCTATGTTTAGTGTGATGTGTTGCAGCACTAAGATCTATGTTTAGTGTGGTGTGTTGCAGCACTAAGATCTATGTTTAGTGTGGTGTGTTGCAGCACTAAGATCTATGTTTAGTGTGGTGTGTTGCAGCTCTAAGATCTATGTTAAGTGGGATGTGTTGCAGCACTAAGATCTATGTTTAGTGTGGTGTGTTGCAGCACTAAGATCTATGTTTAGTGTGGCGTGTTGCAGCACTAAGATCTATGTTTAGTGGGATGTGTTGCAGCACTAAGATCTATGTTTAGTGTGGTGTGTTGCAGCTCTAAGATCTATGTTTAGTGGGATGTGTTGCAGCATTAAGATCTATGTTTAGTGTGAGCTGGTGTTGTGCTAAGATCTATGTTTAGTGTGGTGTGTTGCAGCTCTAAGATCTATGTTTAGTGGGATGTGTTGCAGCATTAAGATCTATGTTTAGTGTGAGCTGGTGTTGTGCTAAGATCTATGTTTAGTGTGATGTGTTGAAGCGCTAAGATCTATGTTTAGTGTGATGTGTTGCAGCACTAAGATCTATGTTTAGTGGGATGTGTTGCAGCATTAAGATCTATGTTTAGTGGGATGTGTTGCAGCACTAAGATCTATGTTTAGTGGGATGTGTTTCAGGACTAAGATCTATGTTTAGTGTGATGTGTTTTAGGACTAAGATCTATGTTTAGTGGGATTTGTTGCAGCACTAAGATCTATGTTTAGTGTGGTGTGTTGCAGCACTAAGATCTATGTTTAGTGTGGTGTGTTGCAGCTCTAAGATCTATGTTTAGTGGGATGTGTTGCAGCACTAAGATCTATGTTTAGTGTGGTGTGTTGCAGCACTAAGATCTATGTTTAGTGGGATGTGTTGCAGCACTAAGATCTATGTTTAGTGTGGTGTGTTGCAGCTCTAAGATCTATGTTTAGTGGGATGTGTTGCAGCACTAAGATCTATGTTTAGTGTGGTGTGTTGCAGCACTAAGATCTATGTTTAGTGTGGTGTGTTGCAGCACTAAGATCTATGTTTAGTGTGGTGTGTTGCAGCACTAAGATCTATGTTTAGTGTGGTGTGTTGCAGCACTAAGATCTATGTTTAGTGTGATGTGTTGCAGCTTTAAGATCTCATCCGGGAAGGAGTCGGGGAAACAGCAGAGAAAAACATCATTTAGCGCTAAGATCTATGTTTAGTGTGATGTGTTGCAGCACTAAGATCTATGTTTAGAGTGATGTGTTGCAGCACTAAGATCTATGTTTAGAGTGATGTGTTGCAGCACTAAGATCTATGTTAAGTGTGATGTGTTGTAGCACTAAGATCTATGTTTATAGTGATGTGTTGCAGCACTTAGATCTATGTTTAGTGTGATGTGTTGCAGCACTAAGATCTATGTTAAGCGTGAGGTGTTTCAGGACTAAGATCTATGTTTAGTGGGATGTATTTCAGCACTAAGATCTATGTTTAGTTTGATGTGTTGCAGCACTAAGATCTATGTTTAGTTTGATGTCTTGCAGCACTAAATTCTATGCTTAGTGTGATGTGTTTCAGCACTAGGATCTAGGTTTAGTGTGATGTGTTGTAGCATTAAGATCTATGTTTAGTGTGAGGTGTTTCAGCACTAAGATCTATGTTTAGAGCCAGTGTTACCTCCAATGATGGTTGTGTCAACAGCGGGAGGGTAGAACAGCAGCTCGGCAGATTTCACTGTGTACATCAGCTTCTCCCCGGTCCTGTTACAAGAAGAGGATGGACACTGATTGTAGTTCCTTAATACTGGCAAACAACACTTCATTCGTGTGTCTGTCTGTCTGTCTGTCTGTCTGTCTGTGTAACTGTGTGCGTGTGTGTGTGTGTGTACATGTGTAACTGTGTGCGTGTGCGTGTGCGTGTGTGTGTGTGTGTGTGTGTGTACGTGTGTACGTGTGTGTGGTGATGCAGCCATAATATCATCAGAGGCATGTTATTGTAATTTGAAACCTCTTATTGAAAAATACTTGATTCTGATGTGAAGTAATTTATCCACCAATTCAACTATTTCACAACCAGATAAGAAGTAAAAGGCATCACATTGCTCCTGATAAAACATACCTGTCCTACCAACCAGCAAGACTTAAAAGGTCAGACTTTTTTTAAAGTTTGTTTACAAATCCGCAGATGCCAAAAAAATGGAAATATAAAAAAAAAAGAATTAAAAAATGGTGTTCTTTTTTATTCAGTTTACCAGAAATAAGCCTACTCATTCACTGTCACTATCAACATAAATTATTTCAACAACTATAATTAAAAAATGTTGAAATTTTATCTAAAAAAATTCAAAACACAACAATTTATGACTAATCACATGAGGAAAGTAAAATGAAATTGAAATTGGAATTTAAAAAATATGTAATTCGACCTACCAACCTGAATTTTCAGGCGAAAATCTGTAAAACCTAAAACAAGATTGGCTTGTTTGTTTGTTGTTTAAGGCTGTCCTCAAACAAGAAAAATGTCTGGCCTAAAGTCATGATAATAATCCTTACTTTGCCCAGTGGGAGAACTTGTACACAAACGGTCCTTTAGCCGGCTGCTTGTTGTCCTTCGAGGCTTCTGGTTTGAGAGGACCGAGGACGGTCGGGGCATCGGACACCGAGGACCTGCGGACACAAAAGTCGGTCAGTCTCTGTTCCCTGGGGTTCCATGAACAAGACGGGAATAGACAGGATTTGTTTGTTTGTTTGATGTTTAACGCTGCACTCAGCAATATTCCAGCTATATGACGGCGGTCTGTAAATAATCGAGTCTGGACCAGACAATCTAGTGATTGATATCATGAGCATCGATCCACGCAATTGGGACCGAGGACATGCATCAACCAAGTCAGCGAGCCTGACCACCCGATCCCGTTAGTCGCCTTTCACGACAAGTATAGTCACCTTTTACGGCAAGCATGGGTTGCTGAAGACCTATTCTACCCCAGAATCTTCACGGGTCTGGAATAGACAGGAAAAACGGAATGTGTTGCCATATCAGAGATAGGTTTTGAAAAAGCTTGTTTGATTTTGTTTGTTTGTTGTTTAACGCCACATGCAATATTCCAGCTATATGACAGCAGTCTGTACTGAATCAAGTCTGGACCAGACAATCCAGTGACTGACATCATCAGCATCGATCCAAGCAACTTGGGTGTTGATAAAATGCATCAACCAAGTCAGTGAGTCTAACCACCCTGTCTAGTTGCCTCTGATGGCAAGCATGGGTTGCTGATGACCTATATTCTTACCCAGACTCACACAGGAACAGTGGCGTCACATATTTGATGCATGACAGGAGTTGAACCAACGTCGCGTCCAAGATTATTGCATTTATATAGCGACGTTTGTGTGTGGCTGCTTGTACTCGTCCGGACTGATGCCGATTTATAGTGCTAGCTCACTGAGATACCATGCCGCAGTTTAACATGAATACCCCACTCAGACACAGTATACTGACTCCGAGCCGACCAGTCCTTGTTTTAACCCCTTAATGCTGAGCGCCAGACAGGGTAACAACAAGTACCATCTTTTAACGTCTTTTGGTATGACGCGGTCGGGGATCGAACCCCGGACCTTCCGCTCTCCGTGAGGACACTCTACCACAAGACCACAGAGGCGATTGATGAGCGAGCTGGGTCAGTTCATGCCACTCTGTATAAATCCAGCCATATGACTGTCTGGGAAACAGCTGGAGAATATTATGGTGGAGAATATGCCGTAGCTCCCCAGCCTTCGTGACTTTAGATCTACGTACGTGATGACAACTTTGATGTCGTCCACCTTGTCCTGTGTGCTGATGGAGCCATGGGTGAGATGCTGCACGGCCATCAACGTCACCATGAGAGGGTTCCACCTGGAACACACAACAAACGTACATTGCATGCTCAACTTGGATTCTTCCTTCTAACTATCACGTAAAATGTTCTAACATACAGGAATAAACATGCAGGGATTTATCTAGGATTCCAAAGGAAGTCCCCTTGGCAAACAAATTGGGAAGAATCATTATTTTGCTGAGAACCCTGGTAGTACAGAACCCTGGTAGTACAGAACCCTGTCGGCCCAGAACCCTGTCAGTTTAGAACCCTGTCAGTCCAGAACCTCTGTCAGTCCAGAACCTCTGTCAGTCCAGAACCCTGTCGGCCCAGAACCCTGTCAGTCCAGAACCCTGTCAGTCCGGAACCCTGGTAGTCCAGAACCCTGTCAGTCCAGAACCCCATCGGCCCAGAACCCTGTCCGTTAGAACCCTGTCAGTCCAGAATCCCTGTCAGTCCAGAACCTCTGTCAGTCCAGAACCTCTGTCAGTCCAGAACCCTGTCAGTCCAGAACCTCTGTCAGTCCAGAACCTCTGTCAGTCCAGAACCCTGTCAGCCCAGAACCCTGTCAGTCCAGAACCCTGTCAGTCCAGAACCCTGGTAGTCCAGAACCCTGTCAGTCCAGAACCCTGTCAGCCCAGAACCCTGTCAGTCCAGAACCCTGTCAGTCCAGAACCTCTGTCAGTCCAGAACCCTGTCAGTCCAGAACCCTGTCGGCCCAGAACCCTGTCAGTTTAGAACCCTGTCAGTCCAGAATCCCTGTCGGCCCAGAACCCTGTCAGTTTAGAACCCTGTCAGTCCAGAACCTCTGTCAGTCCAGAACCTCTGTCAGTCCAGAACCTCTGTCAGTCCAGAACCCTGTCGGCCCAGAACCTCTGTCAGTCCAGAACCCTGTCAGTGCAGAACCCTGTCAGTCCAGAACCCTGGTAGTCAAGAACCCTGTCGGTCCAGAACCCCGTCGGCCCAGAACCCTGTCCGTTAGAACCCTGTCAGTCCAGAATCCCTGTCAGTCCAGAACCCTGTCAGTCCAGAACCTCTGTCAGTCCAGAACCCTGTCAGTCCAGAACCCTGTCAGTCCAGAACCTCTGTCAGTCCAGAACCCTGTCGGCCCAGAACCCTGTCAGTCCAGAATCCCTGTCAGTCCAGAACCTCTGTCAGTCCAGAACCTCTGTCAGTCCAGAACCCTGTCAGTCCAGAACCTCTGTCAGTCCAGAACCTCTGTCAGTCCAGAACCCTGTCAGCCCAGAACCCTGTCAGTCCAGAACCCTGTCAGTCCAGAACCCTGGTAGTCCAGAACCCTGTCAGTCCAGAACCCTGTCAGCCCAGAACCCTGTCAGTCCAGAACCCTGTCAGTCCAGAACCTCTGTCAGTCCAGAACCCTGTCAGTCCAGAACCCTGTCGGCCCAGAACCCTGTCAGTTTAGAACCCTGTCAGTCCAGAATCCCTGTCGGCCCAGAACCCTGTCAGTTTAGAACCCTGTCAGTCCAGAACCTCTGTCAGTCCAGAACCTCTGTCAGTCCAGAACCTCTGTCAGTCCAGAACCCTGTCGGCCCAGAACCTCTGTCAGTCCAGAACCCTGTCAGTGCAGAACCCTGTCAGTCCAGAACCCTGGTAGTCAAGAACCCTGTCGGTCCAGAACCCCGTCGGCCCAGAACCCTGTCCGTTAGAACCCTGTCAGTCCAGAATCCCTGTCAGTCCAGAACCCTGTCAGTCCAGAACCTCTGTCAGTCCAGAACCCTGTCAGTCCAGAACCTCTGTCAGTCCAGAACCCTGTCGGCCCAGAACCCTGTCAGTCCAGAATCCCTGTCAGTCCAGAACCCTGTCAGTCCAGAACCCTGGTAGTCCAGAACCCTGTCAGTCCAGAACCCTGTCGGCCCAGAACCCTGTCAGTTTAGAACCCTGTCAGTCCAGAATCCCTGTCGGCCCAGAACCCTGTCAGTCCAGAATCCCTGTCAGTCCAGAACCCTGTCAGTCCAGAACCCTGTCAGTCCAGAACCCTGTCAGTCCAGAACCTTGTCGGCCCAGAACCCTGTCAGTTTAGAACCCTGTCAGTCCAGAATCCCTGTCAGTCCAGAACCCTGCTAGTCCAGAACCCTGTTACTTTAGAACCCTGTTTGTGCACAGCCCTGCTTTCCAGGCCTCTACCGTTAGCATGGTTAGGAGCAACTGTATACAAAAAACATCTCCCCACAAAGAAGATGCAGTAATCCACATGATTTCTCTGAACAGTACAGTCCAGATTAAAGAGGTTGAAAGTTCACTGCAGTTCAATGGATGACAAGAGTTCTACTCACGTGTCATACGTGTAGACATCCTTCTCAAACTTGTGACAGGAATCTGGAGTGAGCCGGTACACACCAGGTTGAGCCAGACAGAACCGGTTTGTCCCCTTGTTCAACTGGAAGGATCCAACACTCCCAGACTTCTTCTCATGGGCAAAATTCTGAAACATTGAAGATAAGTTGAATGAATATCATTAAGATAACTTTAAAATTACTTGACCATGTTTTTCAATGACGACAACCATTCGCCTGTTTAACTGTTTTGTTATTTCCGTCGAACCGACATAGGTAAGCAGCTGAGCGGTGGTGCTGTTTTACATCACAGTCAGCAATATTACCATGAAGACATCATTGCAGAATTAGGACGTCAATGACCAGTGTTATCCCATGGTGTTCTACACACGTCCAGCCGTACTCACCAGTGTTATTCCATGGTGTTCTACACACGTCCAGCCGTACTCACCAGTGTTATTTCATGGTGTTCTACACACGTACAGCCGTACTCACCAGTGTTATTCCATGGTGTTCTACACACGTCCAGCCGTACTCACAAGTGTTATTCCATGGTGTTCTACACACGTCCAGCCATACTCACAAGTGTTATTCCATGGTGTTCTACACACGTCCAGTCGTACTCACCAGTGTTATTCCATGGTGTTCTACACACGTCCAGTCGTACTCACCAGTGTTATTCCATGGTGTTCTACACACGTCCAGTCGTACTCACCAGTGTTATTCCATGGTGCTTACACACGTCCAGCCGTACTCACCAGTGTTATTCCATGGTGTTCTACACACGTCCAGCCGTACTCACTAGTGTTATTCCATGGTGTTCTACACACGTCCAGCCGTACTCACCAGTGTTATTCCATGGTGTTCTACACACGTCCAGTCGTACTCACCAGTGATTCCATGGTGTTCTACACACGTCCAGTCGTACTCACCAGTGTTATTCCATGGTGCTTACACACGTCCAGCCGTACTCACCAGTGTTACTCAATGGTGTTCTTCACACGTCCAGCCGTACTCACCAGTGTTATTCCATGGTGTTCTACACACGTCCAGCCGTACTCACCAGTGTTACTCCATGGTGTTCTACACACATACTCACCAGTGTTATTCTATGGTGTTCTACACACATACTCACCAGTGTTATTCAATGGTGTTCTACACACGTCCAGCCGTACTCACCAGTGTTATTCCATGGTGTTCTACACCCGTCCAGCCATACTCACCAGTGTTATTACATGGTGTTCTACACACGTCCAGCCGTACTCACCAGTGTTATTCCATGGTGTTCTACACCCGTCCAGCCATACTCACCAGTGTTATTACATGGTGTTCTACACCCGTCCAGCAATACTCACCAATGTTATTACATGGTGTTCTACACCCGTCCAGCCGTACTCACCAATGTTATTCCATGGTGTTCTACACACGTCCAGCCATACTCACCAGTGTTATTCCATGGTGTTCTACACACGTACAGCTGTACTCACCAGTGTTATCCCATGGTGTTCTACACGTCCAACCGTACTCACCAGTGTTATTACATGGTGTTCTACACACGTCCAGCCATACTCACCAGTGTTATTACATGGTGTTCTACACACATCCAGCCATACTCACCAGTGTTATTACATGGTGTTCTACACACATCCGGCCATACTCACCCGTGTTATTACATGGTGTTCTACACACGTCCGGCCATACTCACCAGTGTTATTCCATGGTGTTCTACACACGTCCAGCCGTACTCACAAGTGTTATTCCATGGTGTTCTACACACATCCAGCCGTACTCACCAGTGTTATTCCATGGTGTTCTACATGGCCAGCCGTACTCACCAGTGTTATTTCATGGTGTTCTACACACGTCCAGCCGTACTCACCAGTGTTATTCCATGGTGTTCTACATGGCCAGCCGTACTCACCAGTGTTATTTCATGGTGTTCTACAAACCTCCAGCCGTACTCACCAGTGTTATTCCATGGTGTTCTACAAACCTCCAGCCGTACTCACCAGTGTTATTTCATGGTGATCTACACACATCAAGCCGTAGTCACCAGTGTTATTCCATGGTGTTCTACACACGTCCAGCCATACTCACCAGTGTTATTCCATAGTGTTCTACACATGTCCAGCCGTACTCACCAGTGTTATTCCATGGTGTTCTACACACATCCAGCCGTACTCACCAGTGTTATTTCATAGTGTTCTACACGTCCAGCCATACTCACCAGGGTTATTCCATAGTGTTCTACACACGTCCAGCCGTACTCACCAGTGTTATTCCATGGTGTTCTACACACGTCCAGCCGTACTCACCAGTGTTATTCCATGGTGTTCTACACAAATCAAGCTGTACTCACCAGTGTTATTCCATGGTGTTCTACACACGCCCAGCCGTACTCACCAGTGTTATTCCATGGTGTTCTACACGTCCAGCAGTACTCACCAGTGTTATTTCATGGTGTTCTTCACACGTCCAGCCGTACTCACCAGTGTTATTCCATGGTGTTCTACACAAATCAAGCCGTACTCACCAGTGTTATTCCATGGTGTTCTACACACATCAAGACGTACTCACCAGTGTTATTTCATGTGAGATGCTGCACTTGAGGATGTATCCGGTCTGGACAAAGTCAACTCCAGTCAGATCCTGGTCTACAACCTCAATCTCCAGAGTCTTGTCCTTCCAGCACCAACTGTCCTGTAGCATCGTTACTGTACACCACAGAAAGATTATGTCAGTGAGAGGTGGGTCGGTGGAGGGAGGGCAGTGGGGGGTGGATCGGCGGAGGGAGGGCAGTGGGGGTGGGGTTGGTGGAGGGAGGGCAGTGAGGGGTGGGTCCGTGGAGGGAGGGCAGTGAGGGGTGGGTCGGTGGAGGGAGGGCAGTGAGGGGTGGGTCGGTGGAGGGAGGGCAGTGAGGGGTGGGTCCGTGGAGGGAGGGCAGTGAGGGGTGGGTCGGTGGAGGGAGGGCAGTGAGGATGGGTCGATGGATGGGGGCAGTGAGGGGTGGGTCGGTGGAGGGATGGCAGTGAGGGGTTGGTTGGTGGAGGGAGGGCAGTGAGGGGTGGGTCGGTGGAGGGAGGGCAGTGAGGGGTGGGTCGGCTGAGGGAGGGCAGTGAGGGGTGGGTCGGTGGAGGGAGGGCAGTGTGGGGTGGGTCGGCTGAGGGAGGGCAGTGAGGGGTGGGTCGGCTGAGGGAGGGCAGTGAGGGGTGGGTCGGTGGAGGGAGGGCAGTGAGGGGTGGGTCGGTGGAGGGAGGGCAGTAAGGGGTGGATCGGCGGAGGGAGGGCAGTGAGGGGTTGGTGGGTGGAGGGAGGGCAGTGAGGGGTGGGTCGGTGGAGGGAGGGCAGTGAAGGGTGGGTGGGTGGAGGGAGGGCAGTGAGGGGTGGGTCGGCTGAGGGAGGGCAGTGAGGGGTGGGTCGGTGGAGGGAGGGCAGTGAGGGGTGGGTCGGTGGAGGGAGGGCAGTAAGGGGTGGATCGGCGGAGGGAGGGCAGTGAAGGGTGGGTGGGTGGAGGGAGGGCAGTGAAGGGTGGGTCGGTGGAGGGAGGGCAGTGAAGGGTGGGTGGGTGGAGGGAGGGCAGTGAAGGGTGGGTCGGTGGAGGGAGGGCAGTGAGGGGTGGGTCGGTGGAGGGAGGGCAGTGAGGGGTGGGTCGGTGGAGGGAGGGCAGTGAAGGGTGGGTGGGTGGAGGGAGGGCAGTGAGGGGTGGGTCGGCTGAGGGAGGGCAGTGAGGGGTGGGTCGGTGGAGGGAGGGCAGTGAGGGGTGGGTCGGTGGAGGGAGGGCAGTGAGGGGTGGGTCGGTGGAGGGAGGGCAGTGAGGGGTGGGTCGGTGGAGGGAGGGCAGTAAGGGGTGGATCGGCGGAGGGAGGGCAGTGAGGGGTTGGTGGGTGGAGGGAGGGCAGCGAGGGGTGGGTCGGTGGAGGGAGGGCAGTGAGGGGTGGGTCGGCTGAGGGAGGGCAGTGAGGGGTGGGTCGGTGGAGGGAGGGCAGTGAGGGGTGGGTCGGTGGAGGGAGGGCAGTGAGGGGTGGGTTGGTGGAGGGAGGGCAGTGAGGGGTGGGTCGGTGGAGGGAGGGCAGTGAGGGGTGGATCGGCGGAGGGAGGGCAGTGAGGGGTTGGTGGGTGGAGGGAGGGCAGTGAGGGGTGGGTCGGTGGAGGGAGGGCAGTGAAGGGTGGGTGGGTGGAGGGAGGGCAGTGAAGGGTGGGTCGGTGGAGGGAGGGCAGTGAGGGGTGGGTCGGTGGAGGGAAGGCAGTGAGGGGTGGGTCGGTGGAGGGAGGGCAGTGAAGGGTGGGTCGGTGGAGGGAGGGCAGTGAGGGGTGGGTCGGTGGAGGGAAGGCAGTGAAGGGTGGGTCGGTGGAGGGAGGGCAGTGAAGGGTGGGTGGGTGGAGGGAGGGCAGTGAAGGGTGGGTCGGTGGAGGGAGGGCAGTGAGGGGTGGGTCGGTGGAGGGAAGGCAGTGAGGGGTGGGTCGGTGGAGGGAGGGCAGTGAGGGGTGGGTCGGTGGAGGGAGGGCAGGAGGGGTGGGTCGGTGGAGGGAGGGCAGTGAGGGGTGGGTCGGTGGAGGGAGGGCAGTGAGGGGTGGGTTGGTGGAGGGAGGGCAGTGAGGGGTGGGTCGGTGGAGGGAAGGCAGTGAGGGGTGGGTGGGTGGAGGGAGGGCAGTGAGGGGTGGGTCGGTGGAGGGAGGGCAGTGAGGGGTGGGTCGGTGGAGGGAGGGCAGTGAGGGGTGGGTCGGTGGAGGGAGGGCAGTGAGGGGTGGGTTGGTGGAGGGAGGGCAGTGAGGGGTGGGTCGGTGGAGGGAAGGCAGTGAGGGGTGGGTCGGTGGAGGGAGGGCAGTGAGGGGTGGGTCGGTGGAGGGAGGGCAGTGAGGGGTGGGTCGGTGGAGGGAGGGCAGTGAGGGGTGGGTCGGTGGAGGGAGGGCAGTGAGGGGTGGGTTGGTGGAGGGAGGGCAGCGAGGGGTGGGTCGGTGGAGGGAGGGCAGTGAGGGGTGGATCGTTGTGGGGTAGGGCAGTGAATGGTTGGGTTATAGGGGGGGTAATAGTCTTCACATGTCTGTTTACAATTCTACCATCCACGTTCACTGAGGTCACTTAGGGGTGTGTGGGGTAGGTCACTTAGGGGTGTATCGATGTAGCAGTGGTAGGTAGGTGTGGGGCAGGTCAGTAAGGGCTGGTAGGGTAGGTCAGAGAGTGGTGGATCGGTGTGGGGTAGGGTAGGTAGGTGAGGGGTAGGTCACTTAGGGGTGTGTGGGGTAGGTCACTTAGGGGTGTATCGATGTAGCAGTGGTAGGTAGGTGTGGGGCAGGTCAGTAAGGGCTGGTAGGGTAGGTCAGAGAGTGGTGGATCGCCGTGGGGTAGGGTAGGTAGGTGAGGGGTAGGTCACTTAGGGGTGTGTAGGGTAGGTCAGAGAGGGGTGGATCAGTGGGGGCTGGGGTAGGTAGGTGTGGGATAGGTCAGAGAAGTTGCTGCTTTAATAATTCTACCAAATCTGAACCTTGTCAAACAGCAAGGTTAACAAGTCCCATCACTGTTCACTGTAGCAGAGATCCAGTTAATGCTATCATAAACACAAGACCTGCAATTACCCACAAACTTACCTTTGTATTTTCCAGGTAAAACGTTTTCAAAGGAGAATGTATTTCCCTTCGCTGATTCTTGAACCTGGAAGTTACATGACAAATACTGAGGAATGTGATAAGAACAGAACAATAACAACATATTGAAATCAATCTGTTCTCTTCTTGCTTGAGGCCAAAAGATGGGGTGCTCATGCACTACACATTACAATCATTATCACTATTATCAGTAGTAGTTTGTTTGTTTGTAAACGTTGCACTCAGCAATATTCCAGCTATATGACAGCGGTCTGTAAATAATCGAGTCTTGACCAGACAATCCAGTGATTAATATCATGAGTATCGATCCACGCAATTGGGATACGATGACATGCATCAAACCAAGTCAGTGAGCCTGACCACCCAATCCCATAAGTCGCCTCATACGACAAGCATGGGTTGCTGAAGACCTATTCTACCTCGGATCTTCAGTAGAAGTAAGGGGACACCAAAATAGGCCTCGCCCCTTGAAGTAGTAGTAGTAGTAGTAGTAGTAGTAGTAGTAGTAGTAGTAGTACTGTGACATGTTCCTCTTTCATCTCCATCATCATCATCATCATCATCATCATCATCATGTCTCACCTGCACCACCTGCTTGGAGTCAGCGCGACTGAGGGAGTCCAGAGACATGTCTATGTGGCCGCACTTCTCTGTAACATAAAAGCATTAATAAATAAAAAATTAAAAAATCATCAAGAAGCACCAGTTCCCAACTAGACTGATATGTACAGAAAATATCAACAAGAAATATTCAATGGTTTAGGAATTCTCCTCCAGGGCATTGTTCCACAAAGCGATCTTAGCGCTATGAGCGTAAGCCAGTGTTAAAGTATGGGAGTTACGATCACCTTAGCGCTAAGATGGCTTTGTGGAACGGGGCCCTGCACTGCCCTCATTCTCAGTAAAAGTCCAACTTGTCATAAAAAAAACTAAAAAAATAAGAATCTCAAATCATCAAAACAAAAAATGGACATGCTGATTGCTTATAAACAACGGGAGGATAAAAATCCCTGGCGATGGTTATCTCCCCTTGGTGTGCTCACTCACCCATACATGTAACAGCTCCATGCACCTTGGCCCGGAACTGAGAGAAGCGGACGTCGGACACAGGCTTGCTCTTGATGATGACAACCCGTTCTGCTGGAGCCAGGGTCAGACCTGCCTTCACCTCCTGCTCGCTCAGATGAACCTGTCACCAGGTGAAATAATAATAATGTTGCTTTCAAAATTATAGGACTTATACAACGACGGGCATTCACATTTATAAGGAACATAATCTGGAAATACTTAGGTCAACCACAGAGACGGCCAGAGGATCGAACCAACGCATTTCTACTCTCCCTTCAGACGCACTATCAACTAGACCTCTGAGACGGTTAGATGAATCAGTGAGTAGGGAGTGAGTGAGTATGGTTTTACGCCGCTTTTAGCAATATTCCAGCAATTTCACGGCGGGGGACACCAGAAATGGGCTTCACACATTGTACCCATGTCGGGAATCGAACCCGGGTCTTCGGCGTGACGAGCGAACGCTTTAACCACTAGGCTACCCGACCGCCCCGAATCAGTGAGTAAGGTGGACAAGGCATGCAGAACATGCTGATTAATAGATTCAGAACATTTATAAGGAACATAATCTGGAAATACTAAGGTCAAAGGCAACAAACACATATGTGACCCCAAAAAAAGAAATCCTCTACAACGTAATCATCCAAGGCATAAATCTTGTTCAACAATCACACATTTATTTAGTTCCAAACAACAGCAAGTCACCTTACATGTTACTTACTTTGACGACATATTTGCCTGGTTTGACTCGGGCACAGAACTTGCCAGCAGAGTCCGTGGTGATGGACACTGCGTCAGACCCGCGACCTTCGGGATAGTAGATGACCTTCCTCTGAACGGGGACCTGGTTGAGCCCCTCGGGAACACGGTCGATGACCACCTCGCCACACATGCTGAACCTGGACAGGATAGTCATTAATGAGTGAGTTGTTTGTTTATAATAAACAGGTCTGGGCCAGACAATCCAGTCATTGTAATATGAGAGAGTGAGTGAGTTGGGTTTAACGCCGCTTTTAACAGTATTCCAGTTATATCGCGGCGTGTCAGCTTAATGTGGGAGGGAAGCCTGAAGTGATGCAGGTCTTAGACGTTTACCACTTTGGTGAAACCCACGAGCACGGGTGTGGTGCCGACAAACCTAGAAACATAAGAGGAGCGAACCGGGATTCGAACCCACAATCATAGGTTTCTGGCATGCCCAAGGGACGCAACTCTGCACGGCGAATCGCGGCGTCTTAGATGACTGGGCCACCTGTGCCCCCAATTGATAACATGAGCAATAATCCATGACGTCAGGGTATGATGGTACGCTATCAACCAAGTCACTGAGTCTGACATTCCGATCCATTCAGTGCCTCCCATAACCAGCACAGGTTGCTGGGGACCTAAACTAACCGGGAATCCCTACAGGGTGAGCGATTTTTCACAGGGCATTTCAGCTAAATTTGTTTGTTTGTAGCTGAACACAATACTCAGCAATATTCCAGCTGTGTGATGTTAGCTTGAGTCGGGGGCAGACAGCATGGAAGGATAGGTGTAAGCAATGCAGGTCCTAGATGTGTACCACAAACCTAGAATCATAACCATTGGATACTGGCATATCTAAGGGAGGCAAATCCCCCAATTTGTAAAACAGCTGCAGGCATCGACAGGCAGCCTTGTTTAAAAGAACTGCAGTCATCAAGCATGTCAAGAGGCAGCCTTATCTAAAACAACAGCAGGCTTCAAGAGGCGGTCTTGTTGAAAATCGGATCAGAATTGTAGTGACAAAGTTTCAGCTCAACAGGTCAGAGTCGATGACAACTAACACCAGATGTACTGTCAACCGGAGGACGGACAACACTCCAAGAGATAAGCTCAGTTACATTTCAATCAGGTGAGCTGATAGGGTAGCAAACAGATGATAAACCATGGGAGCCACACATGGAATTGAGAGGACGTACCCCGAGGCCACGATGTCAGGCAGCTGGGGAGTGTTTGGCGTGATCTTCACACTCAGCTCATCAAAGAAGATGTGGTCAGTCTCCACATTGAGAGTGTAGGTGCCGGTCTTCATGTTGTCCAGGTGATACAGGCCGTCAGAGGCAGTGGTCGTCTGCGCCTTGCCGTCCAAGGTTACCTTGGCCTTGCCAATACCCACACCCTGGAACAATCAGAATATTGGTTGGTTTGTTGTTTAACGCCAAACTCAGCAATATTCCAGCTATATGACGGCGGTCTGTAAGTAATCGAGTCTGGACCAGACAATTGATGACATGCATCAACCATGACAGCGAGTCTAACCACCCGATCCCGTTAGTCCCCTCTTACGACAAGCATAATCGCCTTTTACGGCAAGCATGGGTTGCTAAAGATCTATTCTACCCCGGATCTTCACTGGCCCATCTCGAACAAAGCTTCTGAGTTGAAAAAAGGACTGACTGATGCCAAGAACTGAGGAAGCATGCCAAAATAAATTCTTGCTTCATCTGTGCTGGTCACACTGCAACTGTCCCTACCTTGGGTGCATCCAGTACTCGTCCGGACACTGAAAAGCCTGCCACCTGGAACCCCTTCTGTAACAAGAACATCAGATGGAGTGAGTGAATATAGTTTTAAGCCACAGTGGCTACAACACACAGCTGATAACATACACTACCACACGTATGAATCCAAGCTACGCAGCTAACATTGCCAGTACAGTATGTGTGTGCTTTTTGGTTAATGCCACACTCAGCAATATTCCAGCTATAAATAATTGAGTCTGGACTAGGCAATCCAGTGAATGACATCATGAGCCTCGATCCACTCAAATGGGATACGATGACATGCATCAACCAAGTCAGCAAGCCTGACCACCCAATCCCATGAGTCGCCTTTTACGGCAAGCATGAGTTGCTGAAGACCTATCTAATAACAAGAAGTACCATTTTTTTAACGTTTTTTGGTATGACGCGGCAGGGGATGGAACCCCCAACCTTCCTCTCTCTAGCCAGACACTCGATCCACTAGACCACGGAGGCAGTCTATATTCCTATTATATAAGGTAACCATGGTAACAGCTGTTATGTTCACTCACCTCCAGTTTGATTGACTGATGGCCAACAACAAATTCCAGCTTGGCTGGAACCACGTCAAATGTGATGTGCTCGCCTTTATAGAAGGGCACCTGGCAACAAGAAGAATGTATACAATTAGGGCTGGGAGGAGTCCAACTTTAGTACCCGGGTACCAGCCCCCCTATCACCCGACCCTACCCGGGTACCCACTGTAGGTCTCAGGAGATGTCTCAAAGTGTCCGATTGGGAACATTTTTAGCATAACCCTGGCAAAACATATTTAGATACATGTATTAAGCAATCTGGTCATTCATACACTGAAGTTGAATTAAGTCATATGTTTATTCAACCATATGAAAAGTCAGAGGGAATGGGTGCTTAGTCAGAAAGAAATGCGAACATTAGTCACTTGTAGTGTAACCATAGAGTTCTAGATAGTTTTTGTCATTAAACAATATATCACATGACTAACCACGGGTCCGGGTAGTCCTGTGGGTACCCGGGTCCTACTCAATACTCAGTACCTACCAGGTACCCGAGGTACCCGTCCCAGCCCTATATACAATGTTATGTGTCAGTAATATAAGTGGCAGTAGAAATTGTTGTAAATTTTAGGGATGTAACGATTCACCATTACATCGGTGCATTGGCATGTTTTCTCAGATGATACGGTATGCAATACACACTTACAGATAGTCGTATCGTGACATCCCAAGCAAATACATTCGTAGTAACTGTCACTGGCAGCCAATGAATGACTTGCTGGTAAGACAGATGACGACTGTGATGTCGTATCCAGATTTGAACCCTGGTTAGCTGTTGCGAGTAGAGTTTCCCAACATGATTTTGAACAAGAATTAGAGTTACCTGCCCTTGTTGAGTACATGAGGATGGCAGGCTTGATAGGGAGGGGAGGAGTATGGTTTACGCTGCTGTCAGCAATATTCCAGCAATATCACGGCAGGGGACACCAGAAATGGGCTTCACACATTGTACCATTGTGGGGAATCAAACCCAGGCTTTTAACGTGGCGAGCGAACACTTTAACCACAAGGCTACCCAACACCCCTTCCCGTATGCGGTTCCCAGAAGTTTACCATTACCTTTCAAGAATAGTTGTCATTCAGAAAATCAACACATTAGAATGAATCATCGAACCCAAAAATTACATTCACTGGATCTAAATTATTACTAAACTGAAATTTGAATGTTTTGAAGAATACGTTTGTTACGAATAAACCATGACAACAAGTACAACTATTAATCAGGATTTACCACTCAAAAGAAAAGAGGGTGAGTGAGTGAGTGAGTGAGTGAGTGAGTGAGTGAGTGAGTGAGTGAGTGAGTGAGTGAGTGAGTGAGTGAGTGAGTGAGTGAGTGAGTGAGTGAGTATAGTTTTACGCCGCTTTTAGCAATATTCCAGCAATATCATGGCAGGGGACACCAGAAATGGGCTTCACACATTGTTCCCATGTTGGGAATCGAACCAGGGTCTTTGGCGAGAAGAGAAAGAGAAAGAACATCTGATTTTTATATATGACTATATGTATCTGTCATTGCTAGTTGGTATTGCAACACAGCCTTCTAGCAAGGGCAAAAGTGAGCGTTGCTCACTAATACCCCCGACCCGCCTAGTGTGTCAGTAGTTTCAAATTAAACAAGAGTTTGCCACTAACGTGGCTATGTCCCCCGCCCCTGTTGCAGAATTTATGACATAATTAAATCTAAACAAACCCTAACCTTTTTTAACCGAGGTGGAACTTGTCATGGAAATTGTGAAAAAAAGAAGAGTTTGGAACCTAAGTCCATTTTGCTGCCATGGAAACGTAAAAAATAAAAAATTCTAAAATTTCTTAATAGCAAAAGGCACCAGTTCAGCATGTACCTGACAAACCTGCAAAGTTTCATGAAAAAATATTGAATGTTTTCTGAGTTATGCTCCGGAAACGTAACGTGACGGACGAACGTACGGAAGGACGGACGGAGCCCGTTTCTATATCCCCCACCAACTTTGTTGGGTGGGGGATAATAATGGCTAGGGTTAGGGTTTGAAAAATTCATTAAAAAATGGAAAAGTTCTACTACTCCAGATTACTGCACTGGTTCCATTGAAACTATGGACCAATATTCACTGACTATTCTGAAGTTCTACTACTCCAGATTACTGCACTGGTTCCATTGAAACTATGGACCAATATTCACCGACTATTCTGAAGTACTACTACTCCAGATTACTGCACTGGTTCCATTGAAACTATGGACCAATATTCACCGACTATTCTGAAGTTCTACTACTCCAGATTACTGCACTGGTTCCATTGAAACTATGGACCAATATTCACTGACTATTCTGAAGTTCTACTACTCCAGATTACTGCACTGGTTCCATTGAAACTATGGACCAATATTCACTGACTATTCTGAAGTTCTACTACTCCAGATTACTGCACTGGTTCCATTGAAACTATGGACCAATATTCACCGACTATTCTGAAGTTCTACTACTCCAGATTACTGCACTGGTTCCATTGAAACTATGGACCAATATTCACCGACTATTCTGAAGTTCTACTACTCCAGATTACTGCACTGGTTCCATTGAAACTATGGACCAATATTCACTGACTATTCTGGAGTTCTACTACCCCAGATTACTGCACTGGTTCCATTGAAACTATGGACCAATATTCACTGACTGTTCTGAAGTTCTACTACTCCAGATTACTGCACTGGTTCCATTGAAACTATGGACCAATATTCACTGACTATTCTGAAGTTCTACTACTCCAGATTACTGCACTGGTTCCATTGAAACTATGGACCAATATTCACTGACTATTCTGGAGTTCTACTACCCCAGATTACTGCACTGGTTCCATTGAAACTATGGACCAATATTCACTGACTATTCTGAAGTTCTACTACTCCAGATTACTGCACTGGTTCCATTGAAACTATGGACCAATATTCACTGACTATTCTGAAGTTCTACTACTCCAGATTACTGCACTGGTTCCATTGAAACTATGGACCAATATTCACTGACTATTCTGAAGTTCTACTACTCCAGATTACTGCACTGGTTCCATTGAAACTATGGACCAATATTCACCGACTATTCTGAAGTTCTACTACTCCAGATTACTGCACTGGTTCCATTGAAACTATGGACCAATATTCACCGACTATTCTGAAGTTCTACTACCCCAGATTACTGCACTGGTTCCATTGAAACTATGGACCAATATTCACTGACTATTCTGAAGTTCTACTACTCCAGATTACTGCACTGGTTCCATTGAAACTATGGACCAATATTCACTGACTGTTCTGAAGTTCTACTACTCCAGATTACTGCACTGGTTCCACTGAAACTATGGACCAATATTCACCGACTATTCTGAAGTTCTACTAATCCAGATTACTGCACTGGTTCCATTGAAACTATGGACCAATATTCACCGACTATTCTGAAGTTCTACTAATCCAGATTACTGCACTGGTTCCATTGAAACTATGGACCAATATTCACTGACTGTTCTGAAGTTCTACTACTCCAGATTACTGCACTGGTTCCACTGAAACTATGGACCAATATTCACCGACTATTCTGAAGTTCTACTACTCCAGATTACTGCACTGTATCCATTGAAACTATGGACCAATATTCACCGACTATTCTGAAGTTCTACTACTCCAGATTACTGCACTGGTTCCATTGAAACTATTGACCAATATTCACCGACTATTCTGAAGTTCTACTACTCCAGATTACTGCACTGGTTCCACTGAAACTATGGACCAATATTCACTGACTATTCTGAAGTTCTACTACTCCAGATTACTGCACTGGTTCCATTGAAACAATGGACCAATATTCACTGACTATTCTGAAGTTCTACTACTCCAGATTACTGCACTGGTTCCATTGAAACTATGGACCAATATTCACTGACTATTCTGAAGTTCTACTACTCCAGATTACTGCACTGGTTCCATTGAAACTATGGACCAATATTCACTGACTATTCTGAAGTTCTACTACTCCAGATTACTGCACTGGTTCCATTGAAACTATGGACCAATATATACTGACTATTCTGAAGTTCTACTACTCCAGATTACTGCACTGGTTCCATTCAAACTATGGACCAATATTCACTGACTATTCTGAAGTTCTACTACTCCAGATTACTGCACTGGTTCCACTCAAACTATGGACCAATATTCACTGACTATTTTGAAGTTCTACTACTCCAGATTACTGCACTGGTTCCATTGAAACTATGGACCAATATTCACTGACTATTCTGAAGTTCTACTACTCCAGATTACTGCACTGGTTCCACTCAAACTATGGACCAATATTCACTGACTATTCTGAAGTTCTACTACTCCAGATTACTGCACTGGTTCCATTGAAACTATGGACCAAGGGTCCGAGATCAAGCAGGACAACAAACGTGGTGTAATGGCCGACTTACGATGGTGTATTTGCCAGTAGGTAGAGACGGGAAGCTGAAGGCACCGTTTGCTGCCGATATCACGTGACACAGGGGTGTTCCCATCGTGGATGTGAATCCCTTGACGGGCTTACTCTCACAGCCAGACACGTCCTACAACAAAACAACACATGTGTAGATTCCCACACTAAACTTGGCCAATGAGCAGTTTTAACATAACTAACCAAATGAGTTGGTTGGTTGGTTTGTTGTTTAACGCCGCACTCAGCAATATTCCAGCTATATGACAGCGGTCTGTAAATAATCGAGTCTGGACCAGACAATCCAGTGATTGATATCATGAGCATCGATCCACACAATTGGGATCGATAACATGCATCAACCAAGTCAGCGAGCCTGACCACCCGATACCGTAAGTCGCCTTTTACGACAAGCATAGTCGCCTTTTACGACAAGCATAGTCACCTTTTACGGCAAGCGTGGGTTGCTGAAGACCTATTCTACCCCGGATCTTCACAGGTCACTAACCAAATGAGAGTTAAGGTACAGTGAAGTTACCGTATATTTCTGTGAATATTCAACACTTGTGTATAATGTGCATGCCCGACTCTTGGCTACAAGTTTGATCTCATCAAAATCAGATCTTAGTTCTTGCTGACCACCAAACAAAGATCTGAGGACATCCCATTACAGGTCACGTCAGAACGACCTTTCGTGAACTTTGACCGACCAATAAAATGACTGAATGCATGTTATCACAATGTCATTATATTTTTTATACATATAAAACACAATGGGCCTTTCCATGTGACCAATCACAGCATTCAACTAAGTGGAACATTGTGTATTGTAGCACATAGGGACTGACAGGCCTTCAATGCACCAGTCAGAGCCATATTTAGCCGGTCAATATACACTTATGTACAATATAGGTAGTATACACGATACACTTGACACTCCGAGTTACAGATTATCTGCCTTTGTGAATGAATGCTGTCAGTCCTTCAGAACACACACAGTTCACATGAAAGGGAATATTCATATCTGGACAGTTATTCTCTAATTGTTAACAAAAATAACACCATTCACATCCTACCTGTTTTTTAACTTTATCGGAGAAGAGTACGAAGTTCACCCCTCTAATCGGATCCCCTTCACTGGACACGGAACCCTGGAAATAAAAGACAGTTACAGCTATAAAATATTGAGTGAGTTGGGTTTCACTCTGCCAGAATGAAACCTGGACTTCGACATGAGGAGCGAACCATCCATTAGGCCATCTTTCAAACAATGGTGAGTGAGCGACAATGGTCATACGTCGCTGTTGGCAATATTTCATCTGGACCTGGGACATCATTGTACCCATGTGGCTAATTGAACCAGGGACTAAGGCGTGACGAGCGAAAGCTTTAACTCCACCGTTCCTTTCAAATAACAGAGGGAGCTAATGTAGAATTTGTTGAACTAGTGAAAGACTATTCAACACTGCATTAAGAACAGTTCAGGGCCCTGCTCCACAAAGCTATCTTAGCGCTACGACTATTATTACTTCCATGCGATACTAACATAGACTTAGGAGACCTATTAAGATCGCTTTGTGAGACGGAGCCCAGGGCCCGCTTGCACAAAGCGATCTTAGTGCTAAGATGATCTTAACTCCCATTCTTTAACATAGGCTTACAATAGTCTTAGCGCTAAGATCGTTTTGTGCAAGTGGGTCCTGGTCAATACTCTGCAGATGTTATTACTGTGATATAAGCAGCATTCATCAAAGTCACAGAGTCACAAAATCAGTGACGCTCCATTTCAAGGCAGCTGCAACCATGGTAACGAAAAGAATTGATGCCCAAGGTACAACAGTGATAGAGTGAGTTGGGTTTAACGCCGCTTTTAACAGTATTCCAGTTAAATCACGGCGTGTCAGCTTAATGTGGGAGCAAAGCCCGAAGTGATGCAGGTGTCAGATGTTTACCACTTCAATGAAACCCACGAGCACGGCTATGGTGCTGACAAACCTAGAAACATAATCGGGGCGAACCAGGATTCGAACCCACAATTATAGGTTTCTGGCGTGCCCAAGGGATGCAACTCTGCACAGCGAATCAGGGCACCTTAGACGACTGGGCCACCCGTGCCCGCCAAGAGTGATAGAAACTAGCTGTTTTAGTCTACTAGTTCTTATAATGATAACATAGAGCAAAACCCTTAAAAAAACATTTTTCTACCAGTCCTTGTGAAACCTTAACTATTGGCCAGTTTGACAAGCATTATAGGACTAGTGCCACTTTCTAAAGCTGTAAAAGTGACCTGGTACAGGTGTACTTACCATGACATCATACCCAGCAATTACCAGGCTGCTTCCTGTGTTGGCGTTGTCACTGGCAACGGTCACCTTCGTCTCACCCTGTAACCATAGCAACAGAATTAGGTACACCAACATCATATATGACATACTCGAGCACACATGTAAATTTATGAAACATCTAAAACTTCAATTTAACACAGAGGCATGCTAATGGATCACACAAACCAGGGGTCGACAGCATGAACACAAACCTAGGATTTCCGAGGGGTCAGTTTCCATTTAGCTGTGTTGGAATTCATTTAGATCATTTCAGACCTGTTCTTAAACATTGTTTACTCTTTTTGTTAACACATAAGTGCAAACTTACCATAAGAAAGACATAAATAGTTTAAATATTCATGGTAATTGTATTTATTTCAGGGTGAAAAAACAACAGGTGGTAAGGTGAAATAGGGTTTAACGTCGCGTTGAAGATTATAGCACTTATATAGCGACGTGCATGTACATGTGTGTGTGTTTGTGTGGCTGCTTGTACTAGTCCGGACTGATGCCGATTTATAGTGCAGGCTCACTGAGATACCATGCCGCAGTTTAACATGAATACCCCACTCAGACACAGTATACTGACTCTGAGCCGACCAGTCCTTGTTTTAGCCCCTTAATGCCCAGCGCCAGACAGGGTAACAACAAGTACCATCTTTTAACGTCTTTTGGTATGACGCGGTCGGGATCTAACCCCGGACCTTCCGCTCTCCGGGTGGACGCTCTGCCACTAGACCACGGAGGCGGTGAAAAACAACAACAGTAGCTGGGAATCGGTAAAGGATGCACGATCAGTGTACACAGTGCTACGAATCTATTCTACATCCCTGGTCCTGTCGTGTGAGACCCACCTGCTGGAGGCGCCACGTTGGGTGCGTCGCCTTCACGACGTAGTCGCCAGGCAGGATGTGGGAGAAGCTGAAACTAAACACAGGAACGGCATTACGTGAAAACTCTTAACATGCTGAACCTGACACTGTTGACTGAGTGAGTGAGTGAGTTGGGTTTAACGCCGCTTTTAACAGTATTCCAGTTATATCACGGCGTGTCAGCTTAATGTGGGAGGAAAGCCGGAAGTGATGCAGGTCTCAGACGTTTACCACTTTGGTGAAACCCACGAGCACGGGTGTGGTGCTGACAAACCTAGAAACATAATCAGGGCGCACCAGGATTCGCCCCACAATCATAGGTTTGTGCCGAAGGGACGCAACTCTGCACAGCGAATTCAGTGTGAAGACCATTTCTGGTGTCCCCCACTGTAATATTGCTGGAATATTGCTAAAAGCGGTGTAAAACCATACTCACTCACTCACTGATTTTAAGTAAAAAATATCTTGAAATGGGTCGAATTGACGACTCAATATCTACCTTCCACGTGTTTCTTGAGCAAAATGAAAGAATGTGTTGAAAATGCACCTTTCAGAACTACTCTTACCATGATTGCCATGGTTACTTGATTTGTTAGGTATCAGGGGTTATGTACAGTTTTGTTTGTTTAGTTGTTGTTTAAAGCTGACTCAGCAATATCCATGATATTCCAGCTATAACGGCAACCTGTAAATAATTGAGTCTGGGCCAGACAATCCTGTGATTGACATCATGAGCGTCGTTTCACGCAAATGGGTACGATGACCTGCATCAACCAAGTCAGCGAGTCTGACCACCCGATCCCGTCAGTCGCCTCTTATAACACGCAGAGTCATCTTTCACAGCAAGCATGGGTTGCCGAAGACCTATTCTAACCCGCCTCTGTTATGTAAACGTACACACATACCAAGGCTTTTATAATAAATAGGATTTGTGAGTCAACAAACGAAATTTTCAAAATGGCTGCAGCATGGACTTCAACAAAGCAATTTCAACCTGTGACATTTGCCTACCTTCCATCCGTTGCCGTGGTAACTGTCTGCAGCACCTCATCTTTCCCAGCAGGTGTAACTGTGACCTTGACCCCTGACGGACCATCAGTCTCACCTTTGCTGATCACCTATAACACAATCAGTTTCAAAATAATTACTGGAAGTGTGTGAGTATTGCTGAGGAAGATTGGACGGTGTTACCCAAATGTCCGAGCGGGTTACAAAGAATGAGAAGGGACATAACTTGATACCAACCTTTCCAGTGATGGAGAAGCCTGTGAACTTAAAGTTGATGTCCTCCCCGAGACTGCACTTGTCTGTGGCGCCGTCCACTTGGAGCTCCACACTTTCAGGCTCTGCAGACAAACATACAGTGGGCATAACTAACCAAGAAAACACAATGACCATGATGACCCCAATTTCAAACGTTAAAGATCTTGGGGCTTCCTCAATCAAATACCATAGCAGTTAATATCGTAAGACTTCATGACTGCACCTTAATTTCAAACACTGTGGACTCCAATTTCTTGCACTAGCACTAGCAGGGTTGGTTGGTTGGTTGTTTAACGCCGCACTCAGCAATAATCCAGCTATATGACAGCAGTCTGTAAATAATCGAGTCTGGACCAGACAATCCAATGATTAATATCATGAGCATCGATCCACGCAATTGGGATCGATGACATGCATCAACCAAGTCAGCGAGCCTGACCACCTGATCCCGTTAGTGGCCTTTTACGACAAGCATAGTCACCTTTATGGCAAGCATGGGTTGCTGAAGACCTATTCTACCCCAGAATCTTCACGGGTCCACTAGCAGGGTTCTACCTTGACTTACAAAAGAGGGGTTTTAGGGGACCCCCAATAATAATTTTAAAGGTCCTTGCAGGCAATATGGATGTCCTGTAAAATAATATAATGACGTAGTGTACTGCATGTTTAGATAATTACTTCAGAGCCTGGAATGAATCAATGATCATGTGGACAGTGGTCATGATTGATGGGTGAAATAACAGACACCCATTACTGCTCTTGATGCGTTGTGGGTACAATGAATATTAGTGTGCGTCCCATAATTTTATTTGCGTCCATTCTCTACATGTTCGGGATCTGGACGCACATTCGTGCGCCACATGAAACTCTGCACTAGCTTACATGTTGACAGTGGTGACAACCTTGTCGCACTTCAATCTGATCCTGGCATGACTAAGGGGAACAACTCTTGCACAGCAAATTGTGACACATCTGGAATGTTATATGATTCGCACTCCAACACTCAGTTCGCTATAAAGTTATCGTGACATTATGATAAAATGTTTAAGACATCCTTTATTTTATTGTTTTGCATGAGACAAGGGGATTCCACAAACTACATACAATAAAACAAGAACTATTGGCGGAAAGTTAAACATGTTAAAAGGGAACAGTTCTCTTACAATTATGTTTAAAGACCTACAAAGAGCCCTGTAAGTTCTGATTACGAGACTGACCCTAATCCTGTTTACAGTCCCAGTACCAACCTTTGTATTTTCAGTATTACTGAGTTAAAAGATAAATTTCGTGGTTTATGCTGACAGCCTGAAATGTTTATATACGACAGATATATTTTTCCAGAATTTATTTGCCCATAATTAAGGGTGCATATAACACACAAGTGCGTAGTATACACAAATAAATAAGTCTTGTGTACATTGATCAATCGGAAGGGGTGCTAATTGGGTTTGTTCACTAGCCAATATATTAGCAAATATCGCCATGGCCGCTTATTACGTCGATAAGGTACTCACACTTTCTGACACAAACAAAAAGCAATACGATGGGTGATACACCAAATGTGCGCTCCGATACGTATCACGATCCCTTGCTCACAATTCGATATGTATCACGATACTTGCATGTGCTCTTATCTGTGGTGTGTAAGCCATCTTTTTCATATACAGGAAAGCCAAATACCTGGCACACTGACGATTTACAGTTGGCAGTGTCAAGTAAGGCGCAATGGATGAAAATATTTACCTTTTCACTACTTACTGTCACTAGAAATTTGTCTTTGGTGTAACATTATTCAAGAATACATTTAAGGTCAGATTCGGTACTTATTACCTAGTGTGCGATTATGATTGATACATCTACCATGTCTACTACAAATCAATATATATCAGTGCAACAAGTGAAAGTGAATGATGGGTCAGCAGCGTTAGAAATTGGCACTAGGTCTATAGTCCTTGCAAAACTGCCCAATGGTAAAGGTATCATCAGGACTAGTAGGGGCGGTCGGGTAGCCTAGTGGTTAAAGCGTTCGTTCATCACGCTGAAGACCCGGGTTCGATTCCCGACATGGGTACAATGTGTGAAGCCCATTTCTGGTGTCCCCCACCATGATATTGCTGGAATATTGCTAAAAGCGGCGTAAAACCATACACACTCACTCATGACTAGTAGAAATTTGCCATTTTAACATGTTTTAAGGGTTTTGCTATATGTTATCATTATAAGGACTAGTGGACGAAAACTGTAAGTTTCTAACGCTGGTCAGTCGTAATTTTGAAAATTCCACTTACCAAAACTCCATCCCTTAGGTGGCTCCACCTTGAGCAGAAAGTCGCCCTTGTCATAGAGTGGGATGAGGTAGTAGCCCGTGTTGGGGGCGCAGTCTGTCTGGTACTTCATACTGCCGTGTGGAGTGTACAGCTTAACCTGAAGAGGTACCATCAAATTTACTGTGACATTACCTATATTAGTATTATTACCCTGATATCATATTTCAACATTCAATGTTCGTTTCAGTTCAATACCACATTCTTTTTATATCACGATACCATGTTAGGGCACAGGACATATTTGAAAAATTAATCTGGAAATGACCTGAAATATTAATCTCAAACCCTGGATTCTCACATTATGATGATTAGAGCACCTTGGCCTTTTCACTACTGAGTGAAATATCACACACACACACACACACATTGAAATTGAAGCCATCAGTTGGAGTGAGGACACACATCCAAGGAATAGCCTGATTGGTGATCAGCGTATGGACATAAAACAAGTGAACGATAACCTGATAACAAAGTGTATCTGATAAGTTTGTATTATTATTTTCATTATGTTATAAGGGGCGGTCGGTAGCCTAGTGGTTAAAGCGTTCTCTCGTCAAGCCGAAGACGCGGGTTCAATTCCCGACATGGGTACAATGTGTGAAGCCCATTTCTGGTGTCCCCCGCCGTGATATTGCTGGAATATTGCTAAAAGCAGAGTAAAACCATACTCACTCATTATGTTATAAAGTGATCAGAGTGCCAAAATACACTGATCACTGATACTTAGATGATAATGATGGGAAATGGAAAATTAGAATCTGGGAAAATATTAACAACGGTATATAATGATATGGCTTCATTCGTCGAAATGCCTAAGGCTAGCTCTGTGTTCATTCCATTCAACATCATTCGTAATCACAACCATCCATGACAAATCAACGTTATTAACCCAAATTTACCTCAACCAGAGAAAAATTGATATCAACGTCCGATTTGACGAATCCTCCACACCCGAGTACGCCATCAGCGAAAACATTTTTGTTTTCAGACAATAAACAAAATAAAACTAAACATAAATTCCGTGCACAACTTATCCACGCCATCCTGGTTTACCGGAAGTGAGTCGCCGGTATCTGCTTTACGGTTGTCGTTAAACAAGGCATGCGAAAGTCTTTTTCAGTATTTATGACGAATCGGAGTGAACATATATATGTGTTGCTCAATTTACATTCAAATGATAACACTTCGTCAATATATTTAATATTATAATGAAACCATATCCAATAGCTTTTACGACACCTGTCGCATGGCCAAGAAGCTACATGGGCGTGGCATGTGGAGACATGATCCCCCACGATCGGTTCCATGGCTCAGCCAGAACACTTATCACAGTTCGAACCAGAAACACGATATGTTTACAAACATTTTTTTGTATATCTTTCTTATTTAGTTTTCTTTAGTTTTCACACTATATAATAATTTGTTGCAGAAATTTCGAGAAATATATGAATATTGTGCAAAAAGATACAAAATGTTAGATCTATTAACAAATCTAATCGCTGGTAAATTAAGTTTTCTCTCGAAAACCGTTCATTTGCAACAAATTATTTGACGTTTCTCCCTAGTTCCTGTCAAGTCGTCTTAATTGGTGTCAAGTAGGGCTGGGACGGATAACTCGGGTCGGGTCGGGTGGGTACTGAGTAGGACCCGGGTACCCACAGCACTACCCGGACCCGTGGTTAGTCACGTGATAAATTGTTTAATGGCAAAAAATATCTAGAACTCTATGGTTACACTATAAGTGACAAATGATCACATTTCTTTCCGACTATGCACTCATTCCATCTGACTTTATATGTTTGCATAAAGATAAAATTTCAGTCAACTTCAGTGTATGCATGGCCAGATCATTTTATACCTGTATCTAAATACATTTGGACAGGGGTACGGTCAAACGTTTCCCAATCGGACATTTTGTACCTATCTCTTAACACCTACAACGGGTACCCGGGTGGGGTCGGGTAATAGGGGGGTGGGTACCCGGGAAGTAAATTTGGACTCGTCCCAGCCCAAGTGTCCACTATGATGTTGGGCTACATATCTCCACTATCTCGACTAGGAATGTATCCTATTTTACCGACCCCCCTCCCCCACAAATACTTGTGACATTTTCTCATGCCTCCTACCCCAACCCAACATCCCAAACTCCCAACCCCCCAAATACAAGTGGCATTTTCCATGACACCAGCAGTCTCAAAATAATGTTGAAATTTATAAAAAGATATTATTTGAAAAAATAGAGCTGTCATTTTTTTATTACTTCGCACTGACGTCACGAAATTTGGGGAAACGTCCCCCGAACCAGATGAGCTATAATGCCAAACTGACAAACAGACTTTAAAATCACACCAGGAGCGTAGCCGTGACCTCCGCATCACTATACCGTCCTAGTCGTCTCATCAGCATCTGTAGATTTTTTGTTCTATTCCATGTACCGTATTTGACGTAATAAGTGCCAACGGCGATATTTGCTAATATATTGGCTAGTGAACAATCCCAATTAGCACCCCTTCCGATTGATCAATGTACACAAGACTTATTTATTCGTGTATAATACACGTGTTATATGAATCCTTAATTGTAGAAAATTAGCTTCTGGAAAAATACATCTGTCGTATATAAACATTTCAAGCTGTCAGCATAAACCACGAAATTTACGATCTTTTAACCCTGTTGTTTTTCAACAAAATAATATTCTAACAAGAGCCCCCTATTTCTAATTTTGAGAGCGCCCTGGGCGCTTATTATGTCGAATACGGTATTTAAACACGCTACGGCCCTGTAGCAATATTAAACCATGCATGTGTGCTACCATGCTACTGACTATTCGCTTCCAGTATAGAGTCATTGACCAACGCGGGGCACGGGTGGCCCTAGTTGTCTGAGGCGCCGCGATTCGCTGTGCAGAGTTGCGTCCCTTGGACACGCCAGAAACCTATGATTGTGGGCTCGAATCCCGATTCGCCCCGATTGTGTTTCTAGGTTTGTCAGCACTATACCCGTGCTCGTGGGTTTCACCGAAGTGGTAAACGTCTGAGACCTGCATCACTTCGGGCTTTCCTCCCACATTAAGCTGACACGCCGTGATATAACTGGAATACTGTTAAAAGCGGCGTTAAACCCAACTCACTCACTGACCAACGCGATGCCATTGCTCATATCTAATTGATAGCCAAGATGTAAGTCAAGGAGATGTCCTAAGGGCAGATCCAGCAAGAGAGAGGAGATTGTCTACAACATACTACATTTGGACCCCGCCTGGACACGCCTATCTGGTCCTGATCCATTTGGTCGCCTCTTCTACGAACCCGTGCTTGGGGACCTATTCTCACTCAGAATCCCAAACCCGGGCTATAACTAAAATACTATTTAAAAAAGCATGGCACACGATTTAATCACCGACTCACTTTTAAAACGTTGTGAACTCTCGTATGTATGGTTCGTATTTTACCATCGCGTCCAGAAACACAGAGTATGCGACCCGTGAACATCCGGGTTAGAATAGGTCTTAAGCAACCCATGCTTGCCGTAAAAGGTGACTATGCTTGTCGTTAGAGGCGACTAACGGGATCGGGTGGTCTGGCTCGCTGACTTGGTTGATGCATGTCATCCTATCCCAATTGCGTGGATCGATGCTCATGATGTCAATCACTGGATTGTCTGGTCCAGACTCGATTACTTACAGACCGCTGGAATATAGTTCATATAGCTGGAATATTGCTGAGTGCGGCGTTAAACAACAATCCAACCAACCAACAACACAATTTGCTGTGCAAGAGTTGTTCCCCTTGGTCGTGCCAGTATCAGATTGAAGTGTGACAAGGTGAGTGCGGCAACAAGCAAACAAACAACTTAGAGAATCGCAAGCTCCGACGTTCATCATACAGTGAGAGAGAGAGAGAGAGAGAGAGAGAGAGAGAGAGAGAGAGAGAGAGGGAGGGAGGTAATATAAGATTTTACACGAGTTTCGTAATTTCAGTATGGGGGCGGTCAGGTAGCCTAGTGGTTAAAGCGTTCGCTCGTCACGCTGAAGACCCGGGTTCGATTCCCGACATGGGTACAATGTGTAAAGCCCATTTCTGGTGTCCCCCGCCGTGATATTGCTGGAATATTGCTAAAAGGGGCGTAAAACCATACTCACTCACTCACAGCCTGGCCATCAATCAGGTATAGACAATGGCGTGGGTTCAGTCAATGACTACATTGGACGCGAATAACCAGTGACATTTACTGGAAGCACACACGCATGACTTGATATTGCTACAGGTCTATGTCATACTCGGGGCGGCCGGGTAGCCTAGTGGTTAAAGCGTTCGCTCGTCACGCCTAAGACCCTGGTTCGATTCCCGACATGGGTACAATGTGTGAAGCCCATTACTGGTGTCCCCCGCCGTGATATTGCTGGAATATTGCTAAAAGCGGCGTAAAACCATACTCACTCACTCACTATGTCATACTCGCATGTGTCTATTATTACACTCTCAGTGTCATGCTGATTTTACGAAACGAGTGTCAGAATTCTTGTATTCCCCGAGCGAGAGCCAGGGTAATACATGAATTCTTACACGAGGTTCGTAAAGTCAGTATGACACACATGTGAGTGTAATAATTTCTTTATAATCCATTATTTCTTAACCCTTTTGAGCTCCCTTTTCGAAATATGCACTGATCACGACCGCCGTTTTAGAAAACCACGACGAATGACATCAACAGCTGTGACGTCGTTTCTAACGTGAAGCCATTTCGACCTTACGTCCCAGTTAGATTCGAATCCGATAAATAATTTCTTTATTACTCATTATTTCTTAAACCTTTTGAGGTCCCTTTTCGAAATATGCACTGATTACGACCTTCGTTTTTAAAAAAAACACAATGACGAATGACATCAACAATCTTCAGCTGTGACGTCGTTTCTAATGTGACGTCATTCCGACTTACGTCACAATTAAATTCGAATCAGGATGACGTGAACAATAAATTCACTGGTTCGCGCGAAGTGATATTAATTTTTCACAAGTGCACATACGATTTTTACTAACTGGGTTGTTTCTAAACCTATGGGTTATAAAATCCAAACTATTTAAGACAAACTATTTTATCTGAATGTGAAGAATTTTAAAAAAAGAAACGGATCAAAAACTTGTAATTTGTTGAATGGACGACGTAAGATGTGACGCATCGTCACATAGGTTGACCGCAAGGAACTCTGGGTAGGAGAGTGGTTGAGTCACGGCAAAAGGGAACGAGAGTTGTGTGCCGCAACGTTCTTTGAATTATGACGTCACTGGAGTTACCTTTGTTATGCGACGTCACATCAATGCATGACGTCATCAGTGAGATGTCGAAGACATTGAAGGAAAACCCACTATCCTACCCAGAGTTCCTTGCGGTCGGCAGCCAGCATAGTACCTCTCAAGCTCCTTCCCAGCGCGTGACACCTTCGTTACACTCTCGGTAACATCGCTGCCACCAGTGTGGGCGCGGCCATTACAAGAATCTTGAAATTTGCCCTCTAACCCCAAATGTAGTAACGTTGATACTTTTGTTTATGTCTTTGGGAATGCCATCATATTTCATTTTCAAAAGGTGTACGACTGACCATGTTTTCCAGATGAATTTACTTTGTTATTTTAATAATCAGATTGGTTCGAGATTGCAGACTAACGGAAAATCAACCAACTTCTCCCTTACATTCTTACTATATCAATAACACGATAGTTTTAATGAAACAGAAATTCAAATTGACAAACGAAGAAAATAATTTAGCAGCGATAAGTGTATTCGGCGTCACGACAGTCGTCGCTTGTTTGTAAACATAACGGTCATTCGGTTGCGAGTTCAACTCCAAGCATGGTTGTGGCCACCTATTCACAGTGGGGAGTTTTGACTGGTGGCAGCGATAGTATAGAGAGCTCCGCGAACGGGCTATCGCTGTGAGGAGCTTGAGTACCTCTGCCACCAAGCTCCTCACAGCGATATCCCGTTCGCGGAGCTCTCTATACTATCGCTGCCACCAGTCAAAACTCGACACTGTGAATAGGTGGCCACAACCATGCT